CACACTCCCCCACCACCCAGCGCACATCGATCCTGGCATCCAAGCCCCTTTTCCATCAGACAACTAGTACATCTTCAAGACACCCTCTGCTTTCTCGCAACTCACGGCTTGTCTGGCGGCACTATCACTCTCGAACATGCGCTGCAGGAGGAGGTTTCTCCACCGCGCCAAGTCTATCGTGCCTCGTGAGTACACACTGAACTGAACTATCGCTGTTTACATGCTTACACTCCTCCAGGGCTGCCGACGACAAGTTTATACTGAAGTACATACATCTAGTCAACTTTGAAGATCTCCAAGAAGTGAACAATCGTCTACGTGGCAATGCCAACCATGTCCGCCTTGCTGTGCACACTACCCCGGACAAGTCCATGCTTGTTTTCGAGCATATGACAGGTCACCTTTTGACCCTTGCTCAGAAGGACGTACCCCTTGTGGTAATTAAGCACATTCTCAAGAATGCCCTCACTGGTATTGCTGAGCTTCACGGTCAGGATATTGTTCACACGGGTCCTTTTGTCCATTTTGAAATACTGGATAGCAACTTACTGTTCATAGATAACAAACCGGACAACGTGTTCATCAACTGGCAAGTCTAAAATGATGAAATCTTGGTTAACGAAGTCCAACTTGGGGATCTCGAAGATGCAGCTCATATTCCCCCGGGCTGCAACATGGTTGGAAAACAGGCCGGCAACTGGATGTGGAGGAGTCCCGAAGCGCATGCAAGGGGGCCTGTCAACAAGCCTTCAGATATCTTCTCGTTTGCTCTTGTTGGAAGTTCAGTCTCCGGAGAATCTTCAAAAGCGCAATCTATACCTAACGGTCTGCTGCGTAGTGCATTAGCACAGTCCACAAGCGCATCATCTTCGCGGTTCGAGAAGAAGAGCTGGAAGAGGGTGTCAATCCCCTCGCTATCGTAATAGAGCGCCAGATCTCCTACTTTGCAGATGAAGATGGCCTCGATGGGGCTTTGAAGCATCCTGGTGACAATCCCTGGGTTCAGGTGTTCGAGGTGACTCGGAATGGATTAACCATGAGACACCACGAGAGCCATTCAAATACTGGAAGGGTGTTGATGATGACTTTAAAGACCTTGTATGTGCCATGACGCGGTTTGATCTGGGAAACCGGATTATGGCGCGTCAGGCCTTGGAGCATAGATGGTTGAGGGTGTTTGTTCAGAGTGGTCAAGAGTTTACTCCGTTCGATATAAGCCAAATCATGCTTAGGCACCTCTGAATGCTACACACTACTGGAAATTTTATATCATTCTCAAAGTCAGGGCTTGGTGGTAGTTCATACAGGTAAGTGCCCTCAGGGGCAGGGTCACAAATATCAGTTAGTGACTACATGCAGGTGTGTAATGCTTGAAGGTTGACTATGATAATTTGGAGCAAGCCTGGACTCTGGAGAGCGTGAGTGCGTAACTATTTGTGGTGGCATAGTTTCCTCTGGGGTAAACCCACAGCCCGTAAATGGAATTTAGGAGACATACTATGTAAAAGAGCTTTGTCAGTGTATTACGGCAGGAGGGCGATAAAGAAAGATGAAAGAGGTCCAAATAAAACAGACGAGAAGAGAAGAGAAAAGTGCAGAGTATGTCCACAGGTGAGGTCCAAGTCAAGATGCAACCTCGATTGACCTCCAATGGATATATTTCCGCTTAGCCCTTGGGTTTATGTAGTTGCCCAGCAGTCGGACTCTTCTGATCCGTGTCACCAAAGCGAGTCTCACTCTGACTGACCCTTGGGATCTTGAGTTATTCTTCGAAATATCGTAGTCAATTAGCCATGTAGGCTAATTGGGTCATATGGTAGTGGCGAGGATACCTTGCAAGACAGATACTACACTACATGTTTCGAGTGCGTTAGTATAAAATGCACGCAGTCACTAGTTAAGACTGCTAGTGGTATGAGCAAACTGACGAGGGACTTGCGTGACCAAGACCAACTGACAAATCTAACTTTCTCAGCTGAACAAAATCAGCAAGCAGAAAAGTAAGCAAGCAACAATCCTCAATTCTTCAAGTCATATTTGCAGGTGACTGTGCAGTATATCCGAAGTCGGGACATGGTCGCTTAGCCGGTAGTGCAGATCGCGCCAACCAGCACCCTCAGCGCGCCACATACGCAGCCCACGCCATCTTACTCACCACTGGATAAAGCAGGAAAAGGAAAAATCCCAACAGAGCGAAAGCCTTGGCACCTCAGAACCTTGCTCGGAGGCATGCTCGATGCTCGGGTCACGCAAGACTCTGACACCCGCTGTCACAAATATCCTCCGATGAATCAGCCCCCGTCATCCCCGCTCCAGATCCCGAGTCATTGGCGATCGAATCTCACCGGTTTGCGTTTTCCGGGGATGGAGATTTGGAGGCGTCTGGGTCTAGCGTCTGACAAGGGAGAAGGAAAAGAACAAAAGGAAGAAAAGAGCCCTTGAACTCTGAATTATCGGTGGGCCGTCCAGACTCTGCATCTTCCCCTCGGCGTTACCGCTCGCTCTCGCTCGCTCTCGCTCGATATTTCCCAAACCTTCGTCTTTGTCCGCTCGAGCGCGGCAGTGCCTAAAGAAAAAGTGACTGGAAGGATCTTCGGGGTAAGTGCGGAGGAAGCCGAATCATGCAAGTGCGTGGCGATGTGGCACTACTTAACCTTACCAATATTCGACATTAGACGATGGCGCTGACGGCAACTTGGACCGATGAACCTTGACGCTCCGAGACTTGACTGCCGTGCCTCGGGCGCGGAACTAGTCTCGTTACAGAATCTTCCAAAGGCCATCGCAGCTTGCAACTTGCTTTGGGCGCCAGGAATACGGGTTCGGTCAGGTTAGCTGGAATGGCGCGATCTCTTTTTTTGTTGTTTCGCACTTTTGATGGACGGGAGCCAGCGGTTCAGAGGCTGGGCGGCAAGAATAGGCGAGGGGTTGGTACAGCTGGAGGAGACTGGGTCCTGCAAACGCAGTGTTGTTTGTAGAGTCCTTGGCTGGTTACAGGCTGGAACCTGAGTCAGGTTGAGATGCTCTGGGCCAAAAGGGCAGTAGTGAGCCTTGAGGTTCTGCGCGTCCCCACCCCTGCTGAGTGAGCCACGCCGAGAATGGTGGTCAATAGCGCAATATTATATGCGGGCTCGGTCAAGCGGCGGATGGGAGGGACTAGCATGGAAGCGAAGCGGACTGCAGAATTATCCAGCAGTGCGACGATGACACGTCCGACTGATGCCAATGTCTTGCCTGAGTTTGGGGTGAATTATAGGAGGGGAGACCGAGGGCCACTGCTGTCTGATGGGCAAAAAGAAATTATACGACTAAGAAAACTCTCCCAGTTTCCTTGCGTCAAGAATTTTCCTATTAGTTAGCACTCAGCTGGTGGGCCGATTGCTCAAACTGTTTCCCAAAGATTCGGGGATTTGGTGAGAGAAGGTATTCCTGCCAACTTGGAATGTGTTGTCCATCTCCAACTCCATTCGCCTCTCTGTGACGGATCTGATCCAGCCCGAAACCCCACTGGGCAAGTCTCAGTGCTGCGATCTAGATTTGTCTGGCGCATCTTGGGTCCAAAGCTCGGCGTCTCAAAGGATTTCCCGTGCGGAGCTTCCTGCTATTTTTCGCTTTGGCCTGGGGGAGCCGCGCGACCATTTCTTGAATATATCCCAAATGTCTCCCCAGTGGTTCCGTCAAACGAGACCATCATTCTTCTTCTCTTTATAAAGCTTGTCCCGCCCGCTGAGACATTGTCTTGAGCCACATCTCTTTTATCTACCTTTTACCTGTAATCTACGTCCGTTCTTCGCCTTTCATATAAAAGTTCCAATGGCGACTCCGCTGGTCGGCACGGCCATCATCACAGGAGGAAATGGGTCGCTTGGCTCAGAAATAGCTGTTGCCATCGCAAAGACACAGCCCTATGTCCATCTCTTGCTTCTGGCCCGCGACATCAGATCAGAGAGCGTCAAGCAGGTCAGAGAGCGCGTCCGGTTGATCGGGCCACGGTCCTTTGAAGTCCTCAAAGTAGACCTGGCCAACTTCAATTCTGTCGTCAGTTTCGCAGAACTTACCGTCGAGCGAGTCCATAACAAAGAAATACCTCCCGTGACTTTATTGATCAACTCCGCCGCCATGTCGTCATACGTCTCAGATCATGTCACACGAGATGGCCACGACCCGGTCTACCAAACAAACTGTATTGCGCCGTTCTTACTGACCGTTAGCTTGCTCGAGGCGTTCCGAGCCGGCGACGGTACGCCGAATGGTGGTGCAAGGGTTATCAATATCGGGTGTTCCGCAATGTCGAAAGGGACACTTGGATACTTTGAAGACCCAGACTCTGTAAACTTGCAGAATGGGGCGGCACTCAGTGCAAAGGAAGGAAACAAGCGTTTCGGAAGCAGCAAGTTGATAATGAGCGCGGCAATGTATGCGCTCCGGCGGAGCCTGGTCTTGGTAAGATCCATGGCCATCCTGACCAACACCGAGCTGACCGTACCATATCTAGACCGGAAACTTTTCCCTCAACATATACACACTCGACCCTGGCGGCATGACGGGCGAGAGCCACTTGACGACTGCAACCCCGTTATCAGTTCGAATGGCACACTCAACACGAACGGGGCTTCGGCCGGTCCTTCGAGTATTTTCCAAGAGCGCAATGAACAGAGCCAGTGTCCCCGCCAAAGTGATAGCGAGAGTCGCATTCCAGCGCGACACGGTGGAGAACTGGGGTAGAGAGCGATATTATATCTTGGACAGCGAGTATGAGGCCGGATCTGTCATTCCCGCCCTGCGAGACCACCAGCAGATGGATGCATTGCTCGGGAAGCTGATGCGACAGATTGAGATCGGTGTCAAGGGGATGGGGTCACCGTCGTCGAGAATATCACGGTTGAGCTCCTAATTGGGTCTGAAAAAGCGGGCGATCTCCGGACCATTCCTATTCCTTGTGCCTTGTGCCTTGTGCCTTGTTTTTCTGCATCTAGACTTTCCTTGCATTCCTCGGAGTTCGTGGTGGCTTCGACCTCGCATCTGACGCTTTGGTGCTCTATTTCGTCATTCTGTTGCTTATTAGCCTTGCAAAGCGATATATAATACTCTGTATAGCCTGTAAATAGAAAAATCAGACAGTACCTTGGAATAAAAAGAAGCGAACCGTGGAACTGACAGATGGTTACATGGCCGCAAACGGGATGCTGTGCTGCGCCGTCCGCATTTGGAGGTGAAGCGGATCATGTCGACTCCCGATCTTCCGGCCAGTCTGGCCCAGCGTTGGTGATCGTCATCGCTTTCCACGCAATTAAACGATGCGACGTGAAAAAGACACAATTTTCTTCCTGTCACTCCTTCCGGCACTCTTCTCTACCTCGGGATCACCCTGACACCTGTTCGCTACCTCGCCGGACCTTCATTTCTCTCTCGCTCGGCCCCTTGTCTCGTCTTCGTCTCCTAATACGAGATCCGAGCTGCGACAACGTCTGACTGCGCTTTGCGAACTCGAACGGTTCTGTGTCTTGGGGGTTGGGATAGGGCTACACATGGTGAATGACCTGCAGAGATGAGTAGGCACCACGCCTTTGCGAATGGGTATACGGCCTACCCGCGAGGAGGCCAAGGCACATTTTCCATCTCTCCCCATCGGTCAGTATTCCGTCGCCTTGCGGAGTGTGGATTGCGAAAATCATCTGGCTGACATTCAGATCTTCAAAGATTCCAACCACGCTCACAACCTGCCTTGCGACGGCGAAAACAACTCGTCCAACGATTGTTCCTCTTCGGCGGTGTCGCATTCCTCCTCCTGATCCTCATCTTCCCATCATGGCGAGCCTCCGTTCTCCCCGTGCTCTCACTCGGTCTCCTCTCCTCATCACCGGAACATCTACATATACAGACGGTGCGATATTATGACCTCGCGAAAACCAAGGGCACATCGAGTGGGTGGGAGCACGAGGAACGGGTGCTCATGTGCACCCCTCTCCGCGATGCCGCTTCCCACCTGCCAATGTTTTTTTCGCATCTCCGAAACCTTACGTACCCGCACCATCTCATCGACCTCGCCTTCCTCATATCCGACTCGAAAGATCAGACGAACGAGATGCTGCTGAAAATGCTGGAGGAGCTTCAGCACGACCCGAACCAAGATATGCCGTTCGGCGAGATTTCTGTCATACAAAAGGATTTCGGACAGCAGGTGAATCAGGACGTGGAAAGCAGGCATGGTTTTGCTGCGCAGGCGGGGCGTAGGAAGCGGATGGCTCAGGCGCGGAATTGGTTGCTCAGCGCGACACTTCGACCGACACACAGCTGGGTCTATTGGAGAGACGCCGATGTGCTTACGGCACCGACTACCATTCTGGAAGACCTTATGAGACACGATAAAGATGTCATTGTTCCAAGTGAGTAACCTGAGAGCCATACACTTCAGGCACAATCTAATGTTCCACAGACGTTTGGCGACCATTACCCGATTGGCTCGGCGGCGAACAACCATACGACCTGAACTCCTGGCAAGAGTCGGAGACGGCTCTAGCACTCGCAGACACTTTAGACGAGGACGCAGTCATTGTGGAAGGCTACGCCGAATACGCCACCTGGAGGCCTCACTTGGCCTACCTCCGTGACCCGTACGGAGACCCTGACATGGAAATGGAGCTGGACGGAGTAGGAGGCGTCAGTATTCTCGCCAAGGCAAAGGTGTTCCGGGCAGGTGTCCACTTCCCGGCCTTTAGTTTCGAGAAGCACGCGGAGACCGAGGGATTTGGCAAGGTAAGCCACTACTTTGAGCCTATCCTCCGCCCTACTAATTGTGGAATAGATGGCCAGACGTATGGGCTTCTCCGTCGTCGGGCTACCTCATTACACCATTTGGCATCTGTACGAACCCAGTGTCGATGATCTGCGACACATGGAGGAGTTGGAAGAAGAGCGAAAAGCCATCGAAGACGAGGAACACGCACAAGCCGAGCGAGCGGAACGCACAGAAACCTACTACAAGGATCCCAAAGTCGAGTCCGAAATCGACAATGCGTTCGTCCGCGACTCCGTCAACGAAGAGCAGCGCGCAAACCCCAAGACGACGGAGGACGAGAAGACGAAGGGCTCTTCAATCGACTATTCCGGCGCCGCGGCGGACTCGGTTTCGGAGAAGCCAAAGGGTCAGGTCAAGACCACGGTTGACGACGATGACGTTCATGATGAAAAGAGGACTCCACCGCAGCCTCAGCCTCAGGCTGGCAGTGGTCAGAAGCAGCAGGTCAAGGCTCGCTCTACGGTTTAGGTCGCATGTTTGGAATGACGGGACCTTTTAGGCCTGGTGCTGGTCATTGGGCGGTTTATGTTTATGTTGAAAACAGGTTGATCTAACACTGCCTTTTCTGTATATGTATTTGGAGTTTTGTTAGAGAGGTGGAGTATTATTTATCTGGATAATGAATATTGCTTGGCTCGGTGCTTTTATGACTCAGATCTATCCTACTATTACTCACTCGTTTCATCTCAGAAATTACTCGTAGCTGCTGGCTGTTCGGTACACTCAATGTCTCCTATGATCCCGGTCCGATCTGGTTGGCCTCTCCCTCATCAGCCTTAGCAGCATGACTCCTCAGTGTAGAACGAGTAATACGAGTACGAGTACTATCCCCAGCAGAGACCCTCTCGTTCGCCTCCCCGATTGCCTCCTCCCTTTTCTCTCTTGCCCAGTCACGCGCATTCCGATACGCCGTTATAGCCCTCTCCCAGCTCTCCATATTCCCTTTCATCGACCAGCTATCAATAGTCGTCATAATATACTCCGACCCGCCGTGGCGGTTTGCTTTTCGCGGGTAGGTCGCGTACAGAGTAAGAGTGCCAGAGTCCCGCTCAAAGGTCGACGACAGTGTATACGCATCACCGTCATAGACGGCACCCGCATCACCGGCACGTTTGCCGTACGCGCGTAGGGCATGCATCGCCCTGGCACCAAAGGCAGCGTTGTAGCAGGCCTGCCTTTCGGCCACTGTACCGCTCCCGTGAGGTCCTTTGAGCTCTAGAGTGAAGTTTGGGCAGATGGTGCTCCGGGCACGCTTTGAAGGGCGGATTCTGTCGCTCAAGTCCTCGCAGATCTTTCGTTTGAGGGTATGGGTGGTTGACGCGTAGACCCGATCCGGCTTGGGCTTCACCAAGCCGCGTCTGGCCAATGGCCTGAAATGGTCGAATTGCAGCTCTTTGTGACGCTATTCGGTAGAGGCGCGCTGTGCAGAGTCCGGACCTTCTATCAGGGGAAGGAGATTATATAGGACATCCTGTTCGCATAGAGCTCGTGTACGCTCGCTTCGAAACCTGTTAAAGAGGGTTTCCAAGTTTGAAGCTGGAAGGGTTGGCCGGCTCCGTGCAAGGTGTTCTCTGATCTCTTTGATATTCCTCGGCGGTGCAGGCCATTCACCATCAGCATCGGGAACATCAGCAAGATAGATGCCGGTGGCCATCAAAAATTCTTCAAAGTTTTTGTCATAGGCAGTGGTGTTCTTTCCGGCGCCCTGTCGGCGTCGGCGCTGAGATTTCTTTTTGATTGTCTTTTTGACGGTTTTGTGAAGGGTCTCCTTCTCAGAGTTTCTTAGTTTGGCGGTCCCCCTGCTGCTGGAAGTCCTCACTGATATTTTTTCGCCAGTGAGGGACACCACTGAGATGGTGCTGAGACTGCCACTGCGGGAATTCTCGTTCCAAGTCCGCATATCTGTAGATGGGGATGTTGAAGCCTCTGGGCCGATGTCCTCTTCAGTGTGTGTCGGGGGCGTTGTGGAGTGGGCGTCGCGGGTTGGAGGAAGGGGGTACTAGATTTCGGAAGATCAGCTGCGGTAAAAAGCAAGTCTGACGCATAAAGGACATACATCTCGAATATCGCTGATATCAGGGCCCCCGGTCCGTGCAAATCGCTTAAGCTCCTTCTGAGAAGATGGGGTGAGACGTGACACGATCTCGGTCGAAGTATCTAGCGGTCTATAAACCACGTCAGCGCGGCAAAGTCATGGATGGCATAGAGAGGGCCACAGAACCTTGGGGGATGCCTAGGATAGTCGCTGGCTGTCTGACGCTGTAGCTCTCGAAGGGCGATCTTGGTAAACCAGATTTTGGGCAAGCTCTTCCAGAAGGTTGGATGTGGTAGATATGATCCTGAGCGCCGGCGGCGCTGTCTGCAACGCAAATGTCTGCAGCTCGCCATGAAATCAAATTATATAATCGTGATGGAGACTGGGTGGATATGAAGTGAAAGTGCGTGTAGCCTGAAAGCAATATTGAGAAGCCAAAAAGGTCCAGCATCATATCAGGGTGATCTGAAATATTAATACTCAGCAAAGAAAAGGATTCGACAAATACCAGAAGTGACAAAGAGAGAGCAGCACCAGGGCGCAGAAACTGGGTACACTGCGCTACTCTTTGTTCTCGTCATGGACAAAGCCAGCAGACTGGCCACCAGTCACAAAAGGTGACTGGAATTCTTTTATCCTCTTTCAAACGTTGGTTGTCCACACTGGGCCAGACACTCTCTGGGTGAACTCGCATAGTAATCCAGCTCCATCTGTTCTAGCCGTCCATATTGAACAGAGAGATCGATATGGGACTTCGCGCATGGCTGTACAGAAAAGGCTTTCGGACCAATGATGATATCAAGCATCTCGAAGCTATTGGAGGATCTTTCGCGACAGCAATGTTCATGCTTCTAATTTCCTTACCGCGCGGGGGGAATCCCAACTCGGTGAAGGTACCCCAATCGAAAGGGACGAGACAAGGTGGCCCAGGTCTTTGTCCAAATAAGCTTTGGCAGGTAAGAGAGCTCCATGAGGAATTGGAGAAAGCATGGCGCAGGGAGACGGACATCGAGAAGCCAGGCCAACAAGTACCTTTGGACCGCGACGAGCCACCTGAGAGGTGCCAGTCGTTTAGTGATCACAAGTTAGATATCACCGTCGACATCTATGAGCTTGAGGAGATGATCGCCGCGAAGGAGCGCGACGACCTTGAGAAGATAGGGATCTCAGTTACTTCTTCACGTAGTGGCAAGCTGCAGCTCGAGGTTACTCGAGTGGCTTTGCCTACAGTGAACTCGAACCAGCAAAACGGAAAACTCATAAAGGAGGGCTTAGCGCCGCAGGTAGTCCAGACGCCATTCAGCCTACTCGGTGGACGTCTGTACAAGCGATACAATCAGAAAACTGAGGTTTATGGTCCAGGACTTGCCACCTGGGTATTGCGGGCAAGAGGGATCAAGCTTTAAGAATTCTAGATAATACACTCTAAATGATTGCAGCGAAGTGATAATTATGGGCTCAAATAAAAAAAAATATGACAAGGACGTGATTCGAACACGCGAGAGTTTCCTCACTGCTGGTCAACCCTTATTCAGGAAGATCATGTGATCTTGAAAGCAGCGCCTTAGACCGCTCGGCCACCTTGCCAATGTGAATTATTTTGTTCCTTTAACTTTTAATTACTATAGAAGGTGTAGACGGGTTGCTAAAAAACTGGTTCTCCAAATTGGCCCTCGGCCATGTTCAAGGATTTCCGTGCTTCGCAAACTTATGAGCTGATTCGCTTTGCCAGTTCCAGCAAGTTGATTAGGATATAAATAATGAGGGCTTCTTTGCTCCGCCAAATTCCGAGATAACAGTTTTTGTGGCCTGGTACTATGAGGGGCTGGGGCCAGGAGGGGGCAGATGCATGCGTGTATCCAGTTCCTCACCACCATTAACATTGATACAAACCATGAAGTAAACCTTGATAACCTTTGAATATGTCTACAAGCATCGCTTGGCTGTGTCTCACGAACAAACATTGGGATCTATGTCTGAAAGGCGTATGGAGCGCCACCCATCTATTTATTCACCCCTCGACCACAAACTCGACCAATCTTCTTCAAACATGCATCTTACTTCATTCAGCATGTCTACTAGTACTATCTGCACGCGAGTTTAGTTAGTCCAAGACTGTATCTAAAGAAAGACTTTATTTTCGTTATTGCTTCGGAGATCTGAAAAAAAAAAAATAATTGGGAGAGGCCAAAGCACTATTTAAAAATAGTATGACAAGGACGTGATTCGAACACGCGAGAGTTTCCCCACTGCTGGACCTGTATTGAGGAAGATCACTTGATCTTGAAAGCAGCGCCTTAGACCACTCGGCCACCTTGCCATTATTATAGTTTCCTTTTATGACAATAATTGTGGTTGTTGAGCTGGTTTTTGCGCACATTATTGGCCAGCTCCATGTAATAGGAGGAGGGCTCTGTAGCTGACAGGCGCGAGTCGCGGCACGCGTCCTTCAGTCTGGCAAGATCATAGTCCTTTTCTCAGTTCACTTGCGCTCAGTGCCTTACCAGAGGTATCCGGCGCCGAAAAGGCCAAACAACAGAAAAATGTCCACCCAATCCACACCGAGCATCCTCTTCACGCACCGTTCCCCGCAGCGTGGATTCCGGCTCCTCGAGCTTCCACCAGATCTAGCTGAGCTTCTGGCGTCGGATGACCCTCCTACGTACGTTACTTGACCACCTATCTAAAACTGAGAGCACTCAACTCACATTGTTAATGGAAACTTGGAACGAACAGCCTCGAGCTCAAATCTCCAACACATTCCCAAAACACGTCCGCATCCGCATCCACAGCACCGGTCCCGGAATACGTCAATCTCTGCACACCGAACAAGACATACTCGATCCGCCAAGTACAGTCGTCGAACTCGCTGCATATCCTCACACCTAGTACCGGCGGCGCGGTCCGGAAAGATGATCTGAGTATCGTGGCAGAGGAGGAAGAAGATGCGGATATGGATCGAGGCCTTAATGTCGAGGGGACAGTAACGTCTATTGCGAAGTGCGGGTCGACGTTGGAACTGCATACGCCGCCCGAGGGGTTCTCGGTGACCGGGGTTTTGAGTGCTGCGGCGAGGGTCTTTGGGGAGGGGGTGGAGTTGGATGGGAACGGGGATGTGGATGTGGATGTGGATATGCAGGGCGACCAAGACAGAAGCACACGGAAGATCCTTGATGAGTTATTCGCTGATATCCCTGTTTCGAAGGCACAATGTAAGACCGGCTGGGCGGAGATGTGTGGTTTTGTGATTCCTCCGGGTGATGGCGCGACGTTGGCTTCGCCGGTATCATCGTACTGCTGGCGGCCCTCTGCGGCGAAGAAGCTGGAGGTATGGAAGATGATTGTCGACGGGGCCGTCCTTCAGGGTATCGATCTGGGGAAGCAGTTTCTTGTACGGGACTTGTGGAGGTCTGTGCTTGATGATGATGGGAACGAGCCGTTTCCGAAGCCGCTGTTTGAGGCTGTTGTACGGAGGATTCGGGAGTCCGGTGATGGGGCTGGTGGTGACTTGAAATGTGAGTGTGGATTCTTTTGCGGTTTCCGCGACTGAAGTTGTTGGAGCTTAGGCTGACTGGTCTAGGGGCGAGCATCGACAAGGATGGCTGTGTTCGATGGGTAGGAGAGACCTATCTCGAGGCTACGGCTCCTGGTGCTGGGTCTGCTATAAGCGAAAGCCAGCTGCTGGAAGCTTGGAGAGATCAACTTCCAGAGGCTTGGAGAGGCGATGTCTCCTTGTCAATCCTACCGGTAAGTCGTATATTGGAGTCCATCATGCGTGCTATTATTGACCCAGACTAGGAAACTTGCTACATGCGTCCCGATCCGAAAACCATATGCTTTGCTACTGAAGCCGATCGACAGAAGGCAAAGAAGAATCTTCCCACCGATAACAGTGCAGCCGCCAAAAAGACAAGGAATTGGCATGAATTGTTCAAGAACCAAAAGAGACAGAAACGATGAGTCAATAAACCCCATGCATGCTCATAACCTGTGCAGGTCGTCTATGTCTAGCTGTGGCGGGATAAGCCTTTGGTAACCTCAGCACCATGCGTACTTCTCGTTGCAAAACCATTCCACTTCCTGTTCTGGGTTTCCGCTCCACCGGAGAGCTGCAATGCTATCCTTTTCGCGGTGAACCACCTCAGCATTCGGGTCTAGTAGGGCCACCGCTCTTTGCAGAAGAGGGGTCGGGTTCCAGAATGTGACATGCGCCATATTCCACTCGTGTGCCTCCAGTTGTGCTCGCCTCAGAATGGCCGCCATCGCCTTTATCGTTGCTTCAGTTTCTGCCGGAGACGAAGGCTCGTTGTACACCCACCGGAGGATATACAAGGTGTTTTCTTGTGGGGTAGCCCCAAAGGTGCGACTCCAGGTACAGTACACTCTGGTATCGTCACTACCCGCGCCCTTGATGGCAGGGATCCCTTTGTTGGAGTGGAGTTTCTGGGCATAGAATTCTTCTCGGGCCCAATGCCATAAGAAGTGGTCAAAATCCGGTGCAATTGCTATCTTGGGGCCAGAAGAACTCTGTGACGAAACCCGCAGAGTCTCCCTCTCTTTCTGGATGACGTCGGGGTTGCAGATGTAACGATCAACATCAGCAGGGCTCAATGTCCTTATCGCCGGCAGCGGGGCCGCCGCAGACGAGTATTCAGCCTTCGAGAGTGGAGGGAGTTCGAAATGTGAGGATGGATGAGGCTTCCACCCAAACTGAGCATAGAACCTCTTCCCGATATCGGAAAACAAGACACTGAAGAGCGGTTTCTGTTTGGTATCGCATTCCACTTGCCAAGTATCGATCTTTTTGCTCAATTCCTCCAACATTCTCTTCGCATACCCCTTGCCTCTGAACTCGGGCCGACAATAAACGCTTCCGACCCCGTGAGCTGACGCATCTTCCAACTTTCCATCACGGGCCACGATTGCCTTTTTCTTGTATGTTTCACAAGAACTGAGGATCGTTCGCGCATTTTCGGGTTGACGACCATCGACCAGAATCCAGCAGCTCAGGCCTCCCTTGGTCAATTTCTGCTGGAGTAGGGTCTCCTCGCGCGCAAGATACGAATCGAGGTCTAAGGGCCCCTTCCATTCGGTGCTATTCAGCTTGATGGACTCAATCCGTTCCTTTGGCGTGGCTTGGGCCAGCACAAGCTCAGGAGAGTCCCCGTCGGGCAAATCGGTCTCGACGTACGCAGCAATCATATTTCAATGACCTATTTCAACGGATGTGTGGTTATGGGGGGGGCAAAATATAGGGCGACGAGGCAGAGCACCGTCGGGTAAGCAATCGGAAAGAATGTGCAATCAAACTCACGGCCATGAGCGCATTGAAATAGTTGAATTGGAAAGGTAGACAATGGGGCCTTGGAGCATCTAGGACCAGTTTCCATTTGTCACTTCCGATGGCAAGCGATGGCAAGCGACGCCATGTGAGCTGCCATCGTGAGAGGCTGTACCTGCTTTTCTCGGCCAATCTTAGCTGACGTCAGATACCTCCTGTCACGTTTTGTATGTACACGCCGTATTTGGGAATGCTTCTCTGCTTCAAGATGTATACTACAGCTGTATTTCCGTTTTACCCAATACAGTACGCACAATGTGGGGATGATCTCTCTCCAACGTTGGCTTCCGATCGTTTGATGAGGGGCATCGAACTCTTGGCGACGCTTCAATGAAAGCCACGGATTCGCAGCAGGGTTGGCCCAGTGGGATCAGAGCGGCGCCTTGATTGTCAGCTAGGAGAGTTAATTAGCCGCCTGATTGATTAACAGTTTATTGAACAATATTGTCTTTGGTTTGCTACTAAATTTGAATTGCCCCTTGTCGATACCGAGTGTAGACTCTCGAGCTTTCTTTACTGCATTATTCCAAAAGACAAGAATAGACTGAGACCTTGGAAGAAAGGAAGGCCATAGAACGAATCTGGTGAAGACTTCCAAGAAAACTGATTGGGCTGTTTTGTAAAACACCTGCTGCAGTTTGACCTCCTTTATTTGCTCCATTTCTGGTCTCACGTGGTTTGGGTCACAACACTGGCGTCGCTTTTCTGCAGCTGCATCCTTTGACCTTCTCAGAGCATGAACAAACCTCGCCTTGCTCTCAGTTTCTCCTCGCCAAACAGTTCAACTGGGCTTCTTCCGTTGTATCAGGCACAGTCGACCTTTGAGGACGGGTGGGCTCGCCAGCCTGTCCAGATCTTCAGATCTGCGCGACGGCTTATCCTTGCGACCTCAAACTCAACCGCTTTCCATGACTTGAGACTAGACGTAGTCTGTTTTGACAGCAAATAGACCTCCATTGCCTCTCTGCGGAGGTCCTCGACTTGGAGGCCAACAGGGCCGACTCCGTTAACCTGACAGAAAAAGGCTCTTTCCCAATGCGCAGACTGAGGCTCTGGTGGCACAACCACTCGAAGTTAGCCTTGTTATCACGGACGCTCTTTCATTGTCCGGCGCGCTTTGCCCCCTCATTGTTTCCATAGACCTTCTGGTGATGCGGTTCTTCTCTTGGCTGGATTCTAGCAGACCAACCTGTTTCCACCGTCAATTTTACGCTCCCGGAGCACAACCTAATGGATTCCCCGATTTCCATCTCGTCAGGCACAGACTTCGACGATGACTCTGTCTTTGGCGACTACGGCTTTGATGTACTAAATAACCCGTTGCCCGGAAATGACTATGCTGGAAATGCAGCTGGAAATGCCCCCTACAGGCCTCCAACAAAAAAACAACGAGTCCGTGGACCAGACCTGACTACCATCAACGATGCTCCCAACGCTCTACTTGCATCCCTTGGACCTAACACTTCGCAACCCACAGAGGATCCGCGCCGAGCGGCACAGCCAGCGGACGCAACCAACCCATTGCTCGTACAACTACTGGAAATTTTCCCGGATATCAGTCATACCTACGTCTCAGAACTGATCGCTCGTCACAAGGCTGCGCTGGTCCAACGAGGAAATCTCCAAGAAGCCGATAGTGTTCAGTTGGCACTCTCCAGGGATGCCATTTATGAGGAGATTCTCGCGCAGAAATCGTACCCTAAACAGGCTGCCGAGGCCTCCAAGAGGAAACGGGAGGACGCTGGTTCCAGAGAACCTAACTGGCAGACTGATACGCTGCATCAGAGCGAGCCCACTGCATACTCTAGGGCAGCGTACGCCTGCCTCGTCTTCGTTTTGTTATGGTCACCACTAACCTTTAAATATAGAGCAGAGATGCTGGCGCAGGAGTTTCCCCTCATCCCAATGAACCACGTCCGGAAGGTCCTCGGCGAGAAAAAACGCGCTTATCATGCTTTCCTGGCCTTACATGCCGATGATAACCTTGACCAGAACCAGAGACCCTATGCGAAGCTGAAGAAAAGTAGGATTTCTCCGGCTCAGAAGTTCTCTCGAGCTATTCGTGACATTGTCACCATTGAGATTGTCGCAGCGAGAAGGGAGACTCGGAGTCGAGAAGGTGAGTCGTCCGCTGGGAACCCGGGTATAGCTTGCGGACTGATGCCTAATAGCTGCGGTTCGCAAGAAGAAGGAGGAGGAAGACGCAGAAAAAGCCAACGAAGAAGAGTATACGCGAACTGGCAACCTCGTCGAGTGCGGGTGCTGCTACACAGATGCCCCGGCAAACCGCGCTCTCCCCTGCGAGGGAAACGAACTTCATTTCTTTTGCTACGCCTGCATACGCAAATCAGCCGAAACTCAGATTGGTCTCATGAAATATACCCTACATTGTTTCGACGTCAGCGGATGCCAGGCTTCCTTCGCACGCCCTCATTTAAAAGAGGTCTTGGGCGCATCGATGATGTCAAAGCTGGACTCTTTGCAGCAGGCGGACGAGATCCGGATGGCCGGTCTGGACGGACTTGAGGACTGTCCGTTCTGTTCGTTCAAGGCAGTACTCGCTCCAGTTGAGGAAGACCGAGAATTTCGCTGCGAGAATCCTGCCTGCAAGGTGGTTAGTTGTCGACTGTGCAAAGAAAAGACCCACATCCCCAAGACTTGCGAGGAAGCTCGGAAGGATAAGGGTCTGAGCGAGCGACATGAGGTTGAGGAGGCTATGAGCAAGGCTTTGATACGCAACTGTCCCAAATGCCAGGTGAAGATTGTCAAGGAGGATGGTTGCAACAAGATGATCTGCCCTCAGTGCCATACCTCCATGTGCTACGTCTGCAAAAAGGATATCACACAAGAGGCGTACGGTCATTTCGGACGCGGGTGCCCTCAATCCGACAATATGGGAAGACGCGACCAGCTTGATGTTCAGCAAGCTGAACGGGCAGCTATCAACAAAGCGCTCTTGGAGAATCCCGATTTGACTGAAGAGCAACTGAGGATTCACCATCCGAACAAGACCAAGGCTCAGCCTATACCCACCCGTCAACCGGCCCATCATCATATTCATCAGGTAAGATTTCATATGCCCTATACCAACATACTGATCTCTGACAATCTTGGCTACCAGTTTTATGGAGGCCCCCCTATCATGCACGCTGCTCCATTTGCAAACCCGGTCCAGCTGAACAATGCGCAGATGACAGCAGAAGCACAGCGAGCCCACATGCGAGCCGCAATGTTAGCTCGTCATCAGGGCATCGCCCCGGCGCCTATGCAGTATCCTTTCTATCCCGCCGCTGCCTTTCCTCCAGCCCCAGTTCGTGCTGAACCTCCCCACCCGAACCGCGCTCCCGTTGCCCAGGGCTATACACAATGGGAGCAGCCTAACTTCTTTCCCGGACCTAGAATGAATGCTCCCGAAAGAGTTCAGCAGCCGGGGGCTTACTTTGCGGGCGAACGCTTCGATTTACCAACGCTTGATCCGAGAGTCCGCCCCAGACTTGACAGGATCTACGAATTTGGTGACGACGACGACGACATCTATTAGGTCACTCGGGCAAACTTCGAACCCCTGCTTTACACATTATACATGAGCAGCACCGACACATACACGCAACATAGGATACGGTTCTTTATATTCTTGAATCTTGGATTTTTCTACTTCCCGCCATATACCCACAAGCGTTCATTCTTCCGCGCCCAGCGTCTTCTCGATCCATCTTTTTTTATCTCGATTTGTTACGTTCCTTTTTCGCATCTCTGGCCGTCCAGTTGAACACCCTACACTTCTCCGACCACAAGTCAACTACTACCCAGTGGTCAGTAACTTTGACCCCCGGCTCCTCCCTCCATAACCGCCTATTCATCAATCCGTCCACGAGCGACACGCCCGCCGAGGGAAATGCCACAGGCTGACTCCGGGAGTGTCTGTGTATCTCAATTATTCGGCCATCACGAATTCTCTCGTCAATTCTATACATCTGTACGAGTCCATCCCATTTCATATTCTTCGGTTTCTTCAGTTGACCAGCGGCGTTACCCGATCCTGTCAAGTACCTACATAGCTCCAGCGTCCAGATAGACGATTAAAAGGAGTTCCTTTCAGAGACCAGTTTCAGATTCAGATTCAGATCCAGAACAGAAATGATAGAAAAATTGTACATATATTACTATGCCAACGCTAAATTTATGAACACTCCTAGCACATACCCCCTCGCTGACGGAGATTGGCACAACAAATTCCAGATTACATCCTACCAACTGGTCCCTCACGCACTCACTCCGTGCACGACGAGTTCCTCCCAAAAAAAAAATAAAACAACAACAACCAAGATCTACACTCATTTCAACTTCCAAGACAAACACGGCCCACGCACCGCTCCTTGGAACAAAAAAATCCTTCGATTTAAATTATTCCATTATTCAGCTTCAAGTGGATGTTTGCCGTTCGCTCGCTCGTGTTGTTACGTCATGATTTATCCCGCCGCATTTTTGGCGATGGAGTGCGGGATCAATACGAGCTCTGGTTTGTTTTAGTTCGGTGCTTCACTTCTCGTGGAAGAAGAGTCTCGCTGGCGTCCAGCTGACAACGAGAAACGTTGAAGTGTTTGTCGTTTGCTCTCGAGTGTCGTCGTGTTTCGCGAGAGCTGGTCAGCAGGGTGAAGCGAGCGTATCGAATCGGATAGATTCCCGTTCGATGCCGGAGGAATTTCGATTTGCTCGTGCGGATCGTGGCGTCTGCGTGTTGGAGGACCGAGCGACGACTGTGGTTGACACTTGACAGAAGAGATGAAATCAGCCTCTGGGGAGTATCCCTGAACTTGCTCGCCTGGTAAACGTCAAAAAAATGAGGAACGGCGGTTTGCCGACGCATGAGGGAGTGCTATCGGCAATATGCGGAGTAGCTGTCGTAACTAGTGCTAGATATTTGAATTTGCTATAACCATAAGGAAACTCCGACGAGACAAGATACAGAAAGTGGTATGAATGGCGGAGGCCAAAAGGGCACAGGGTGGAAAGTGAGGAGGTAGAAAAAGTAGTCGAAGAGAAGAGAAGAGAATAGGCATAAGGAACGTTGACAGGAGAGGATATGATAAGAGCTGACGGCATGAAGATGGAAACTGAGGAAACTGAAAGAGATGCTGAACCTGATCTATGTAAATGCCATGCGAGTCCCAAAAGTCGTCCGCTCCCCATTTTATATATTTGCACCACTCATTGGACGATACCAGCATTTCTTCATCCATCATATATGTTCGATCATTGGTCACGCTAAAACAAGAAGATATAGGTTATAAAAGGTTAAAAGACGAAGCACCTTGAAATGCTCCACAGGATAAACTAGACAGAAAACAAAACACGAGGAACGAATCAGCCGTTCATGGCGGATGCTCCGAATCCAGTGGTTCGTTGAATTTCTGTCGTGCCTCTTCCACCCATAATTCTAGACGGAGTTCGCCGGCTTCCACACGTCGAACTGGCACGGTCTTGGCGCGACCGTTGGACACCCTTGGAGGCGGTTGTTGCGGCTCGCCGTTTCTTAGTTTAGAGACGGAATATGGGGCCGAACATGATCGGAGGTGAACTTTGCCTGGTTCCGCCACAATCCAGGCCTGTTCTTCTGTTGTAGTCCCCGCGGGGGGTAATGCGTCTTCGCGAACTTCGATGCAGACGGTGAAACTGAATTCATCATCACGAGGTAATGGTGTCAATCGGGCGCAGGCGGATGCAAGTCTTGCGAGACAGGCGCGGAACTGCGCTTCGAGGTCGACGGTTTGAGAAGTGGGAGGAACGCCCTTGGAAGAATCGCTTCCTCTATCTTCAAAGGTGGTGTGCACCTCGTTGGGCGGCACGCGAGGGAAGCCCGACAGATCAAACGCATATCGTTCGAGGGGCTGATTTGTGCGAAGCGATGAAATAATAATACTGACAGCAGTTATTGTGCCTTTTAAGATCTCCGTCCCAACAGCAATTGACGCGTCGTTTATGTAGTCACATACTTTTGGGTGACGCGATTGTCGGACAGGGTAGTTATATGCCCGGACGGGGAGGAAGGTCGCTCGTGGGTAGACCGATCGAAGGAATAGGATTTGGTGTACGGTGACAGTGAGAAAATTCGTAAACGATGCAGCCAACGCAGCCTGATTATGAGGAGTCCTGGGTGCGGTGACTGGGGCAGAGAATGTTGTCATGGTTGCCGTCGTGGTGGTGCTCTCACTGGCAATAGGCATGGCCGTCGACGGCTATTGAATCGTTGCTGACACGGGAAATATGGTAATATTGGGATCTCGGGGAATCTGAGTGCTGTTCCACTCTGAGGATAATCATCGCTCTGCCTTTTTGTTCGAATAGAGGGTCAATAGTTGATTTTGTGAGAGGACATGGGGTTGGCAAGCGGTGATGTAGGAGAGGGGAAGAAGTAAAATAGGCCGAACCAATGACGTGATACGGAGGCAAGAAGAAAGTAGAAGGCGTGGAGGCAAAGATCTCTGGAGCAGAGGCGAGGTAGAGCAACTCAATGAGCGCGCATCGAGGAGTGTTGGGCGAGCAAGCCGTGGGCAGAGTGAAGAAAGAAAGAGACAGAAGCGTGGGTGAAACAGAAAGAGGGGATCGAAATTACATACGTTGGGTGGAGGAAGACGGAACAAGTAAACCTCAAAGCATGAGTTTAGTCGTAGCGATCGTGTCGAGGGTATAAATCGAGAAGCTGATTATATCGGGATAGATTAAAGAAGGACTGAGCCGGCGATTGACGCTGAAAAAGTGATGCTGGTGCTGATGATGCTGGAGGGACGCTGTCACAGTCCTTGTGTAATGATTATTATTAAGGTGGTTTGCTTTTTGGAGGGCTGTTGTCTCCCCTCTCCCTCGGAGGTTTTTGTTCCTGAAAACCTTTTTTTCTGCTGGCTTAAAGAAATACTTGGGTTAAAGGGTTTAAGGGGGTGGTTCTCTTTTTTCTGGTTTTTTTCTTTTTATTTTGGGTCTGGGGAGAGGAGGAACTGGAAAGAAAACAGAGAACCAATTCTTTGGGGAGAAGAACAAGTGGGAGGTTAGTCGGATAAGTGGTGGTGGGTGAGGGATGAGGACCAAGAGGCCGAGATAGCCGGGACCTTTACTCGGGCACCGCAGGAAGGGAGAAGCGAAGAAAGGACAACGGGAAGCGAAGAGAGGGAAAGAAGAGGAGAAAGAGAGGAGAGAGGGAAAGAGAGAGAGAGAGGCGACTCTGGAGGGGAACTTGGAAGGAACAACGAGTCTGAGTCGTCCACCACTGTCGTCGTCAGGTCCAAGAGTGGAAACCACGACCCAAGTCCAAGTCACGATGCACCGTCGTCACGTGGTCAGATCATGTGCAGATCGCAAACAATTCCAGCACGCCCGCGCAGGAGCTGCGACCACAACCTTTGCTGGACGTCATTTTTAGCTTCTATATTCAAAAACTACATTGCTCTCTAGTTTCCAAGAGGGATAGCCTCGATGGCCCAGCGCAATGTCTCATCTCCATACATGGCATTCGACCAATTTAAAGGTTAATCCAGGTCAAACGCAAATCCTTCCGCTTTAGACGTCTCCACTTTGACTACCCCTGCTGAATATGAATGGAACGCTAAATCAAGTCGTGACCCTGCCCTGGTCTTCCACCGGGACGGAGTGATCTGCAGAGCCAGGCTTCTGCCCAATGGCATGCTAAGCAGTCATAATTCAAGCCCCTTATAACTATGATTCAGTGGCAAAGCTTGAGCCATTCCATCACCGGCAGCGTCATTCTTCTGGAAGTTCGCTCGTCGAGATAAGGCGTCATCGTCATTGGCCGTCTCTGGCATGCTAGCCCAGTCGTGTGGGTCTTCGTACCATACTCCGTAGGGATCATATTGTGATGCCCCTCCTCTGGGGTAAAGGCACAGATTCTCTTTGGAAGGTCAGCAAAGAGGCTTCGGCAAAAGCAGAGACAAGACGAAGAGAAGAGCTCTACGATAATCTTCAATCGCCTAGGTGTTTTTGAGCTGCCAAGAGCCGATGTTGGCTTCAGTAAGTTTAGTTCTCTGTTATCAACTTGGAGCAGTTTGGTACTTTTGCCAGGGTCCACATAGGTACTGCGTAGTGTTGTGCAAAGGGCAATTGTTGTTCAGGCTCTTAGTCAGGTCGGAGCTACCAACAACGGATGAACTCCAAGTTCGTCAATTGTGTTCATTTGGTTCAAGTGAGGTAAATGGGTTTAAACCATCTAGTATCTTCATCTATAACGTATACCAGTATCTAGATCAACAGATAAAAACACAGCGCTAAACCTGGTGTGGCTGGTATAGGCAAAGACTTTTGGTGGGGTTCCTCACCGCCTCCGGTTGCCCCTCTTGACGCGACATTCGCGCCGTTGCTCGTTCGTGTTGGGCTGAGCTGTGCGGAAGAAGAAGCGCCTGCTCATTCAAAATAGCTTCAATTGGCCTTTCTTCCTACTCTACATTGCCAAACTCTTGATACACATATCAACAGCCGTCTGCCAGGCGCTCCCTCACTGTCTCGTCTCCCAATATGGAGCACGAACTTCTCACACTCCTAGCCGACACTCAGTCGCCGGTCGCTGACACAAGAAGGGCGGCTGAGCTTCAGCTATCACACCTCTACTCAAACGAAAACTTCCCTCTCTCGCTCGCTGCTATCGCTTCTCATGACTCCGTCCCTACAAATCTCCGCCAATCCGCGCTCTCCGTTCTACGCACCTTCATCAGCGCCGCGTGGTCACCCAACCTCGACGAATTCAAAGGCCAGGTCCTAATTAGCGACGTCAACAAAGCGCAGATTCGGGCCGTGCTATTGGATCTTGCCACTGTTACGGAGGTTTCGGATCGAAAGGTCAAGACCGCTGCTAGTTATGCGGTCAGCAAGATCGCCAGCGCTGATTTCCCCGAACAATGGCCTGAGCTGCTTCCAGCCCTGCTGCGGATCATCAATGATTCCAATAGCTCACCCAGCGCAATACATGGAGCCTTGAGAGTCCTGCTGGATCTCGTCGACACAGGCTTCAACGAAGAACAGTTCTTCAATATCGCGCGCGACCTCGTCTCTACTCTGTTCAATGTGGCCACCAATGAGTCCAGGAAGCCCATATTGAGAGCATTGGCAGTCTCCGTCTTCCGCTCGTGCCTTGATACACTTGAGATGGTTCTGGAGCAGCACAAGGCGGCAGTCAAGCAGTTCATGGACGAGGTTCTTGGTGGATGGTCCCCTTTCTTCATCGCAACCCTCAAGGCGCCGTTGCCCCAGGCTCCGGTCGAGCAAGAGGAGTCAAAAGAAACAGAGATTCCGTCGCAATGGAGGGGTGTTATTGCATTGAAGCTACAGATTGTCAAGACGCTGATGAAGATCCGGATGATTTTCCCTGGCCTATTGGTCTCTCAGAGCCCGGTCTACTTCTCAACTATTTGGGAGGAGCTTTCTAACGCTCAGGTCGCATACTATGAGTTTTTCATTGATGACGAGCGACAGGGCCGACTGGTAGATGTGGACGGGCTTCCGTACACCTTGGATCTACTGGTTCTGGAAGAGTTGGATTTCCTCCAGAGTCTCTTGAAAGCGCCACCGGTTAAGGCAGAGCTGCAGCAACAGTTACAAAACTCGGGACAGTCCGCCACTACTGCCGGTTGGCTGCCAGAAATTCTCAAGCTAGCAATCACTTATGCTCAGATTACGGCTGAGGAGGAGGGCCTGTGGGATGTTGATGTGAATCTCTTCCTTTCGGAAGAAACTTCCGTCACCGCGAACTACACTCCTCGTACTTGCAGTGGAGACCTGGTAATCAAGTTGGGAGAGTGGATCAAAGATGCTACGACAGAGGGCCTTCTTGCATTCCTCAACACTGTATTTTCAGACTCCTCATCTATTTGGAAACTGCGCGAGTCCTCTCTCTTCATTCTCAATGCGTTCCTCAGGGACCTGCACGAGGTATCCAAGCGCATATCTCCAGAGCTAGCCAGTGGCTTTGGCAATTTCATCCAGTTTGCAATCCAACAAGACCAGGAGCTTCTGAGGGCCCGTGGCTACCTTGTAGCTGGAATCTTGGCACTTACTGCTGGGGAGGGATTCCAGCCTGCATCTTACCTCGAAGCAACACTCAAGGCTATAACTGAGGATCAGTCAGAGGTGGTCAAGGTAGCTTGCATTCGTGCCTTGCAGGATCTACTGCCAGCACTTTCTGCAAACACCACCGTTCCCCTCCAAGAGCCGATCATATCCGCGATATCCGACTTTGTCTCTGCCCACGATCTTCGCGAATCGTCGGATACTGACGACCTGAAGATTACCCTAGCGGAAACCCTTCGTGATACAATCATGGTCAACCCGAGCGTAGTGCTGACATCTGCCGCCATTGACGTGTTGTTCAATATCGCCAGCAACGGAGCTACGAACTTCCAGCTGACAATGACCGTCACAGAGGCCTTTGAGGATATTGTTGAGAACATTTCAGATCAAGGCGCCGAGGCCTTTGTCCTTCTTTGTGGAAAGGTCCTTCCCTCAATCAATGGCGCAATCGACGTGGGGAACCTTACGCAGGAAAACGCTTTGACTAACTTTGCTGCGGACCTTTTACGGGCACTGACGGAGCAAGCTCTCGAGCCCTTGCCTCCAGGCTTCGTCGAGACGGTGATGCCGAAGCTGAACCGACTCCTGCTTGACTCAACCGACGCTGAGCTTATCCGACCGGCAACCGAATCTGTGAGACATATTCTTGCCCATGATTTCCCCCAGTTCGTCTCCTGGCGTGACCCCCAGAGCGGCAAAGAAGCCATTGAAGTCGTTCTAGTAATCATAGACCGTCTTTTGGGGCCCTCGGTTGACGATCATGCGGCGACAGAGGTCGGGCAGCTTGCCGCCGAGTTGGTCGAGAAGGCGGGATCTGAAAGGCTTGGCCCCTATCTTCCACAACTACTCCAGGCAGTCGCACGGCGCCTTGCCACTGCAGAGAAGGCCCAATTCATTCAGAGCTTGATCCTCGTGTTTGCTAGGTTGACCCTGATCAGCGCTCGGGAAGTCGTTGACTTCCTGGCTCAGGTTGATATTGGCGGCCAAAGTGGACTCCCTATCGTTATGGGCAAGTGGCTGGAGAACTCTGTCAACTTTGCCGGATATGACGAGATCAAGCAGAACATTATTGCGCTAGCGACTCTGTACAATCTTGAAGATCCTCGACTTTCACAGGTACAGGTCAAGGGAGATCTTATTGTTCAGGACACCGGACGTATCAAGACTCGCTCCCAAGCTCGCAATAACCCCGATCGCTTCACGACCGTCACGGCTCCCCTAAAAATAGTCAAGGTTCTCGTGGAGGAGTTAGCCGCCGCGTCGGGTAGCAAGGAGATCGACGCTGCCACGGCTGCGGCGCTGGAGGAAGAAAACAGCGACGACGACGAGTGGGAGGACCTCCCTGACAACACCCTTGACCTCGGCTTGGGCGTCACCAAGCAGGAGCTCATGTCGTTCGGTGAGGGCGGTAGTGAGGGCGTTTTTGGCGTTCGCAAGCGCGACGATGAGACACAGGCATTTTTGTTGGACTTTTTCAGGAACGCATCAACCAAGAACGAGTTTCAACAGATTTTTGCAGCATTGACACCGGATGAGCAGGACAAGCTCCGCAGCTTGGGCTGATCTGGATGCACTTATGATTTTTTTATGATTTTCCTGTTTATCAACACGACTAGTAATGATAGAGTACCCTATTGCCGTTAGATCTATGCCTGTATCTTCTTGATTAGGGGGGTTTGGGTCCACGAGTTTGGGACATCAAGTAGATAGCACAAGATATATGTAAATAAGCAGTTCTCATGCTGGAATCAGGGTTAAATAAGCAAAAATAAAGGCGAAATGAGCTTCGGTACGGTGAATGATGTTTGCCTGAGGCTTGGTAGATAACACCTTCAACTTCTTGGATGGGCTAGTTCGGAATAGCTGCAGAGCTAAAGTCGAGGAAGGTCCAGGAATCCAGAAAGTTCCCGTCCGGTCCCCAGACCCAGCCGAGAAAAAGTGGCAGGCCCCCGAGATGAGCGATCCCTCCGCAAGTCAGATAAAAATCAGGCATCGACTGACTCCGGAATACAGTCCAGGGTCTGTGCCATTTATCTGGTACAGTACCTTCGTTGAACCTGGAACCGAGCGGACGGGATCGGGATCACCCTTCTGGATTGAACCACTCACTGGACAACGGCGAGGCAGGCCTGGGCCTCTTAGCAAACGGATCGGATACTTTCTGGTGGCAGAAACTACGGAAGAAAGTTCTATGCTAGGCTGTTTCCTGCCTAGCCCGTGTGGCATTATTCTGCTTCTGCACCCGACAAAGTGGCTGATCGACTGACTTGCCCACTGGTCGTAACAGCGGACAATACGGAGTAGAGGCCCGGCCGTGCGGGGCTTTGAGTTTCTGGTCCCAAGTTCCTCACCTCTTCTTCGACGCTCCCTCACCACCGCACAACGGAGCTCCGGCCGGGAAAGATGACCAGTACTCGGTGTCTGTCGAGATGGAGTATGGAACTGGTCACTTGTAGCAACATCAAAGCAGCAGCGATCTGCAATTCACGGATCATTTGCGCAGAGGGTGAGGATGGTGGAATACGCTGGAGGGACGCTAAGGCTGGCAGCACCTCCAAGGGGATCCCACCGCAGCGGTCAAAATGACCCAATGCCTCTGTCCCGGGACCAGAACCCCTGTGCTTTTTTTTTTTTTTTTTTCTTTTTCTGTATCTCCCTGCAGCTATTCTTGTCCTGGCGCTGAGAGCCCTCATTTATCATTTATTAGCCAGCTTGCTCTCTTAATTGTTGGAAACTTTCGCAAGAAGAGGAATTAATCGGCCGCCTGCTTGTTCTTTTAAGAATCCGTGTCTTTCCCCAACCTGTCGCTATTGATCCTTCCAGCGCTGCCCTTTCCTCTTTGTCTTTCTTCAGCTCGCAACCCGACAGTTTGGTTCCTCTCAGAGGTCGCTCGCTTCCGCTGCCTCCGTCTTCCAATTGCATTGAGTTGAGCTTCCCAACACTCGGAGTATGCCGCCCCCAAACTTCCATGAGCATATTCAGGTGGATGTGAGTTGCTCTTTCATTTACAGCTTGTGTGTTATCATGTCGTGCGACTCGTTACCTGCTGGTTGTACTTGAATGTCGTCCCATGCGAGCTACCGTACCCCTCCTACCGATCGTCCCATGTTTCCACCCCGCACTCCGAGCTGAACTGACCATGCTCCCAGACGAGTGATGAGGACTCACTCTACGATGCCGAATCCATAGCGGATTCCAACATGTCATTTGCGTCGTCTGTGCGAGATTACTACTACGAAAATGGTCGTCGGTACCATGCCTACCGCTACGGCCAGTATCCCATCCCCAACGACGAGGAGGAGCAAGATCGCCTCGCCATCACACACCACCTCTTCAAGCTCCTCATTGGAGGCGACCTGTATCGAACGCCTCTCCTACAGCAGGGCTCCCCGAAGCGAATCCTCGACATTGGCACGGGAACCGGGATCTGGGCGCTGGAGGTCGCCGAGGAATTCCCAGAGGCCGAGATCATCGGCACTGACCTGAGTCCCATTCAGCCAAACTTCTCGCCGCCCAATTGCACATTCATCATCGACGACGCAGAGAGCGATTGGGCATTTACGAAAGATGAAGCCTTTGATTTTATTCACTCCCGATCAATGGGCGGTGGCATTGCCGACTGGCAACGTCTACTTCAGCAGGCGTATAACCACCTCAAACCAGGTGGCTGGATCGAGTTCCAAGAGTACGAAGCAACCATACACTCGGACGACGGCACACATGTAAAGGCACCAATGCTGTTAGATCTAGCAGCGACACTAGACGAAGCGAGTCAAAAATTCGGGAAGCGCGTGAACGTCGCGCCCTCGCTTTCCGAGTGGCTGGAGGCGGCTGGATTCACAAATGTCACAGTCGACATCTACAAAGTCGGTCACCCCCGCCCCCTCTTTTCCACATAGCGTTGTAGTCGCTAATTTCCGCAGTGTCCGGTAGGCTCATGGGCCAAGAGCCCGCGGCTGAAAGAGATCGGTCGCGTCGGCAGGATATCGTTGACCGAGGCTATCGAGCCATATTCCCTAGCTCTCTTCACCCGGGTGCTTGGCTGGTCCTTTGAGCGGGCGCAAGACTACGTCAACAAATGTCGCCAGGAAGCGATGAACTCCTCGTGCCATATATATGTGCTGTTTTACTACGTTTATGCTCAACGACCCGTGAACGACTCATGAGTACGATTTATGCATTAGATTTCATCCTGTTTGCTGCGTTCTCTGGCGAAGTCTTCTTCATATTATACTCTCTTTTAGCGTCAAAAGATCCTAGGCAGGCGTCATTTATGTATCTCTGTTGCTATACATGTCGATGTCGATGTCGATGTCGATGTCGATGTCGAAGCCTCCCGTGCATGCATGTACATACATACAGATACTGCAAAGCAAAGAACCATCGATTATTCAAAATCACCCCTTCAACGAGAACCCCACACCCTCTCCTGTCCCCATCGCCACCAAATTTGCCCTCATCCGCTCAGCCCGCTCCCCAATCCCAAACGCCGCATCCTCCCGATGCACCCACGCCCCAACCCCATGCTGCAACACCGCCGTCGCCCTCACCTTCTTACTACTACTATCCCCGTCAGACGCCCCACTCCCCTCCTTAAGCCCAATACTCCCATGCAGCGTCAACCTCGTCTCCTCCCCATCCTCCTCCTTCGCCCGATAAACCCCGCGATGCAAGATATTACTATCATAAAACACCGCATCCCCCGGCTTGAGCTCCACCACCAACTGCCCCGGCAAGTGGCTCTCATACGGCGCCGCATTCCGCTCCGTCTCCGTGCGCACGCGCCGGTGCGAACCGGGGATCACAATCAGTGACCGGTCCTCGCATAGCGCGAGATTATACTGCGCATGCGACTGACGACCACCGGGACTCTTGGCTGCAAGTAGCCGCTCTTCTTCCTCCGGCGAGGCATCCCAGGGTATATCATCACGATGCCAGCGGAGTTCGAAGTCGCGGACTTCCGGCGCGACGAGGAGGTTGAAGAGTTCCATTACGAGTCTCTCCTCGCCGTCCTCCTTTCCAGCCCCATCACCTGCAGATGGCCTTTCAAGCCCCATCAACTCCCCCGCAACTCCCAAAACCTTCTCAGAAAAGTAGAACCTCGCAAACTCCGTGCGCCCCGGCATATCCGGATGCAGGAGGTGCTGCACGCCCCAGATCCCGCCCTCGGACGCCGGCGGCGGTGTCGAGGGCCATGGCGGGAATTGTTTGGGGACGGTGCGGAAGTGTGGCCAGGTGCCGGTGCGGGCGAGCTTCGTGGCGGCTGTGGCTGTTTCGCGGAGGGAGGAGATTTCAGGGTCGGACAGGAGGGAGGGGATTACGACGAAGCCGTCTTCCTGGAGGGTGGCGAGGTAGCCTGATGTAGACATTGTGGGTGTGTACGAAGGTTGGCTGGTGTGTCGCGTGGTACAGGTCCGTTCGGGAGGGAGAGGAAGTTCGGGTATGGGCATGCGAAAGTGGTGGTGGATGAGAGATATAAAATAGATCAGTGAGGTGATGCTACGGTTACTGTTTCAGATAATACTGTAGTACTAGTTAGATCTGGATGTTGATCAGCTCGCGTACATAACAAATACTACTGTAACTGTGCTTTGATTACCCCGCAGGAGATAGCAGAGCGGGGTTTGTTGCCTCTCAGATGACGTCGAAATCGATAATATTTGGGCTGCTACAAAACAAATAAGAAAAGTAACCAGTACGAGTCTTCAGCACATGTAGTTATCTTTCCAGACATCTCCTGATATTCCCGTGACTTAGAATTACTAGCGTGCGTATGCTCCTCGGTATTTGTCTATGCGAATAGGGCTGGATCCTGCGCTGGTGGTGGGGAACCGAGACATCTGAGGTCATCTGTGGTCGCCGGACGACAAAGTTCAGCTGTCGTTCTTTTCTTCCGACTTGAACTTCCTCTCGCAATTTTTCCTCCATCTACCCCGCGATCTGCTCGCATACACACATTCATCTCTAAACGTCTCCACAATGGCCCCTCGCCTGAGTCTGGGTCTGAGTACCCTGCTCGTTCTGGGGCTCGTCCTGCTCCTCCTCCCCTGCCAAGTTCACGCCTTTGGTGCCGGAAGTAAGCTCCCATCCGCCATTCTCAAAAACACACACAAAACAAACGACTAACAAACCTCCCAACAATGCAGACATCGCCTCGATCTCCAAGGTCGAAGGGAAGAACTGGCGCCATGGCGATATCGAAGATATGCTCAAGACAATTGCCTTCATCAAGGGCCACAAGTGGACGTCCAACATGGTCAAGCGCGTGTACTTTGGGAACTGGCTGCGGGATTAGTGAGTTTTCGCTCTTTTCTGATCAGCTTGTAGTGTGCACCTTTCACATGCAATTTGGCTGACGGCTTTTTTTCCCCTTTTGCAGCTCCCAGGCTATGGACGTCGGTACCCTCAAGGGTCTCCCTGCCGATACTATTCGCATTCTCGTCTGGATTCTGTCGTTCCTATCGTTCGGTTATGCTACCGCGGAGTTTGAGGTGACGGCTGATCGATTGGGGGTTTATCGTCCTGAGGAGCATATTGAGTTAGTTTTCCCATCCTGTTTGGTTGGTCGGGCCTTGAGCTAATCGGTCTTCCTAGCAACCCCAAAGACTACGCCGATAACGAAGATGCTCGCCAGTACGATCAGCGCCTTCGAGGCCCTATCCGCCAGATCGAACTCGAGGTCGACCCAGAGACCGGAATGAAAAACTACATTGCCAACGAGCGCGGAGACTGGGCTACGAGTACCGCGTATATCAAGTACAGCTTGGCTCGCAGCATTCATTACGGAAGACTATATACCAGTGGACACCGCAAGGGCAATGACGAGGATCTATACGAGGCACTCCGCTGTCTGGGTCAGGGTCTCCATACGCTCGAGGATTTCGCCGCGCATACAAACTACTGCGAGCTTGCGCTTCGGGAAATGGGATTCCGCAACGTCTTCCCACACACTGGTACTTCCACCCAGATGAACATTCGTGGTCATCACGTCTACCCGCTTGTAACGGGAACCTTCGGAATGGTTGATTTCTTCCACTCGGTGCTCGGTGAGGCTACGGATCACTTCACCCAGTCGGAAATCAACGAGATGGACAATGCCCTCTCCGACGCTCAATCGAGCTCCTCGTCGAACTCGCTCAGTTCCCTCACTGGCCTCCTGGGCAAAGTCCCAGGATGCGGCGATCTGGTCGCCGAGGCACAGGCGCTCCAGCAGCGCTCGGAGGCTCAGCAGTCCTCAAACACCCACAGCGGTGCTCGCTCCGGATACGCAGCCCAAGAGTTCACCCGCGGATTTAACGACGACTCAGAGCGTAGCCGTGGTGGCTACGAGCAAAGCAGGGCGAGCGCACCCTCCGGTGCCAGCACAGGCAAGCCCACGGGCGTGCCGGGGATGCCCGACATCAACCCAGCAGAAACCATCGCGAAGATCTACCCGATCCTCGAATTCCGTGATAAGGTAGTGCGCCGGATCTCATCTATCATTGAGAAGATCCCGGGCCTAGAGGCTCTGGTCGAGAAGATCAGCGAGACAGTGACCGTCTTCATCATGTCCCTGCTAGCCCCCTTCATCCGCCCCATCATCAACGCCGCCTCGCAGTCCCTGCAAACCGGCTCCGCAGGCGTAATTGACGCCTCGGGGAAGCACCAGTACGAACCCTGGACGAACCCACAGTGCACCGACCCCACACACTCCATGCTCTCCAAGGACCACTTCACAAACATCCTCAACGAGCCCGCGGGCCACGTCGCTTCCGCGATCCTAAAGTATGTGACGCCCCGCATCCTCCACGCCTGGGAGAACATCAACATCTCCGAGGATCAGGTGCTGCACGATGCGCTCCAGGTCTTCCACCACCCGGCGCTCCGCAACATGCACAATGAAGCCCACCGCACCATGTTCGAGGCCGTGCAGGGCTGGGCCAACGCCATGCCCGATCGCGGCGCGAAGCTCAACGATATCCTCAGCTCCGAGGGCGTGAAGACCGGGAAGAACAACGGCGGCCAGGTCGGCCACTCGCACTCGCAGCACGGCGGGTTCGCAGCGCTCGGTAATTCAGCGCACGGGACGGGCCATGGTCAGAGCCATGGACAGAGTCACGGTCAAAGCCACGGCGGAGGACACAGCTACGGCTCCTACCAGCAGCAATCCTCGCACTCCCAGTCCTACACTTCCACCTCCCACCAACAACCCTCCTCCTCAGGCCACGGCTCAGGCTCCGGCTCGCAGCTCCCCTGGGAGAAACTCTCCGACCAACTCAACAGCCTGCCCATCCCCGGAATCAACAAGCTAAGCAGCAAGCTCTCCAGCTTCGGGTTAGGCGGGTCAACGCGCGAAGAAAGCGACAATGATAGTGCTCGGCCCTCTCAGCCGTCGCCGCAGCATCACTATGACGGTGGCTCTCATTACTCGTCGCATACCCCGCCGCCGCCACCGCAAGGGCACCACCATCAGCCTCCAGGCGGATATGGCGGTCCAGATCCTGATCTGGCGTATGGAAGCTATGGCGGGCAGCATGCGCCTCCGCCGCATCAGTATGGTGGACATAATCAGTCTGGGTATGGAGGGCCGCCGCAGGGGTATGGAGGGGAGTATGGGCATGGTCAGCACCCGCCTCCGCATCAGCAGCATCATCAGGGACATGGACAAGGGCATGGGGGTTATGGACATGGGCAGGGCCATGGTGGTGGATATGGGTACTAAATGTTTTGTGACGTGATGAGGTCATGTTCTTTTAATGAGAGTGACGACTTGAGCTTTCGTGTAGAGGTGGGTTGGGTTGGTACGGTACGGATAGACGTCGGCGGATTCGTTCAAGGTCTAACTGACCCTTCTGGTAACCTTCAGAGCCGCGCCCCTAGTGCAGGATACACGACTCCGCAGGTTACCGAAGAGGTCAGTTAGCTTTTCAATCGAGTTGTTGATTTATTTGTGATTACTTGGCCATAGAATGTACTAAAGTAAAAGTATGGTATCATTCATTGTAGGTATGCCCCTGCCCTGATTCGAGACGTCCGTCTGTCCAGTCGAGTCAGGTCAAAGAGCATTTGGCACACTCGCTGTCAATAGTCTCGTTCACTCTCTATGGTATTATACTAATCGTTATCACGTATGCATGCGAACTGCAATCCCACAACTCCGAAAACCCGAACAACGATCGCAAACAGCAAAGCGCACTCAAAGTCAAAGCTTCGTCCCCTCCCTCCCCGTATCACTCAACCTCCTCGACCTCAGCAAGGCCGCCGCACTCCCAGCTCTCCCATCACCGGAGCTTTGACCTCCGGTTGACGCACCGGCAGCAGCGGCGCGTTGACCCTGGTGCAGCCGCGGATTCATAAGCCACTGTACCTGCATGCGGACACTATTGACAGCGGCATTTGTATGGGCCATGTCCTCCTTCAGCCGGAGGCATTCGTTCATTATGGCCATGCTCGCACGGGCGTCGAGGTCTGTGATTGCGTGGGAAAGTTGGGCGACTTCCTCACGGAGCGATTCGTGGAGGGAGAGAAGGTAGGTTGTTGCATTTGAGAGGGGTGTTGCGGAATCGTCTGTTATTGTTGATGATCGAGGGTTTGAGCGGGAATTAGAGGCGGAGGGTGCGTCTGGGGTATCATTGGTATTATTCGTAGCGGTGTTATTATGATGGGCTGAAAAGGCACGGGATGATTCGACGAGTGTTGAGCGAATAGAGGCGAGGCCGTCCTCGAAGATCTCATTGCGCTGTTGTAAATGGCGGACTGTGAGTTCCATGGAGTCGAGGCGGGAGTTTTGTGCTTCAAAGTAGGGTCCTATTGTGATGAGGGGGCAATTTTGCTCATGGGTTCCTAACTCCGCGCGCTTCATCTTGATAGGACAGCCGTATTTAGAGGCAGCGCAGGGGTGGATTGCCTCGGGACAGGCTTCGATGTGTTCGCGGAGGGCTTTTCGGAAGACGGTGACCTGGCAATCTGGACAGGTTGTCTTGAGGCTAGGGCATAGCTCTTGAACATGTTCCTGTGTAAAGTGACCGGTGAGCATCTAACTTTCCCAATTGTGTGACAAGAACAACATACCTCGTAGTCCTGTTCCATGATATCCTCATCGCAGCGCAGACACTTATGAAGTTCGTGCATGCACTTATCCTCCGGGCTAAGGTCCTTCTTCCGAGTCCTCAGATCGCAAGAAGCGATTGGACAATCCATCAACTTGTATCTACAGTACTTGTCTGCGTGTGACTGGATGTGTCCCCTCGGAATGATCTCCTTGCACCCTTCACTCGAAAATGGACACCGCACCGGTATCTCATCGCACATATTCGTCAAGAGCCGAGGAACGTTAAGGTAGACATCTCTCGTAGGGGTTCGGCACGTCGGACAGGTAAAGCCATCGCGACCTGTCGCGAAGCTCCTGATAGCGGAATTTAGGCAAGTCTGACAAAAGACGTGATCGCATTCGAGGCGCACGGGTCGGATGAACGGGCAGTGACAGATCGGGCACATCAGATGGTCGTCATAGTCGGCGATGTACTCGAGCGCACGCAAATCAAGAAATCCGTCGTCGTCGCTGCCAACGTCCATGGCGAGGAACTGGTCAAGCTTCATGCCTGCGGTTTGGAAGATGCCGCTTCCAAGATGTATTATTAAGACCGACAATGGCTTCCCTTGCGGAAAGGGGGAAGTGTTTCAAGGGATCGTCCGCTGTGGTATGTATGGCGGGGGAGCAAGCTGAAACAATAGCTCCGAGAGACAGGTCATGAGGGTTACACGGTGGCTGACGGTGAGCGAAGGAGAAAGAGCGATTCGCGGAGCAGCATTGGCGGCGAAGATCAGGTCGAAGAGAGCGAGGGTGAGGATGAGGGTGAGCGGAGATCGTTCGGGATGGTGGAAGTCGGAGTGGAAGTGGGCATTGCGGGGAGTCGAATCCGTCCAGAGATGGCAAATGGTAACCGCGAATGACAATGCTTAGACCAACAGCCGAAGCCTACTCCTGTTCTTGAATGTTATTCCGACCATGGCCCGGCGGCGCCGCACTGCCGCAGGCGGGTCTCCTTGATTATGCAGATACAGTCAGTAGGCGGCTGCGCCTTGGGCTATCTGTAAGCACGTCATAAACAGGTTGATCTCAGATGCAAGAGAAAAAAGTCGTGTCTTGTTGAAACTACCTCTCCAGTGCCTGTTACATCCTCTCGTATTGTTGACCCTCGGTCCATTCGTCATTTGCGTGCGGTCTTAGCGCTGTCTCCCCTCCGCAGTTGCCCAGACCGTCGTCCATCATCGACCTCCAAGGCTCCCACATCCTCCCTCCTCTCTCAAAGAACTCCCAACGCCACTGCACAACGCCTCAAAATGCCAAACCCATCCCAGCTCTTCCTCCTTGCCGATCACATCAAACTCTCCCTCCTCGAACGCCAACGGGCCATCTCGCTGAATCTAGAACCCAATAGCCAAGATGGAGAGATCTCCCGCTCGCTCGAATCCCTACGTGAAGGCATCGATGCCGTCGAATCCGAAGTGACAAGACTGGAAGAATCAAACGAGGAAGGGGCCTCCGATTTAAGAGACCAACTTTTTCACCTCCGATCGCAATTTAGCGACCTATCGTCGCAGTTCCGCGGCCCCGATGCGGCTCCCGCTGACGAGCCATCGCGTCCGGATTCGCAAACGCCGCAATTTACAAATGTGAAGAATTCGTCTCCAGACCTCAAGCAGCCGGTTCCGCAGCATCCACCATCAAAGTCTGTTCGGTTTATGGATGATGCCGCTGCCGCTGAGGACGACCTGAACCGTCGGAATCTGTTCCAGCCCTACCGCGATGACCCGTCCCCGGATGGCGTGGATACATCCGGCATGTCTAATCAGCAAATATACGACCATCACGAACAAGTCATGCGAGATCAGGATGAGCAGCTAGACCGGCTGGGTGAGTCAATCGGGCGACAACATCAGCTGAGCATCCAGATTGGGGATGAGCTCGACGGCCATGTTGCGCTGTTAGATGAGATGGACGGCACAGTCGAACGACACCAGAGCAGGCTGAACAATGCGCGGCGGCGTGTTGACAAGATACAGAAAAAGGCTCGGGAGAACTGGAGTATGATGACGATCATCGGTTTGATCATTGTCCTGGTCATCCTGATCGTCCTTTTGAAATAAGTGAGACAGCCGCGGTCTAGATGAGGGACCTTTTCTTTTCTTCGGCTGGGGCTTTATTTGTCATTTGTGTTATACCTGTCGGCGGCGCGATGGCGTTGATTTTCAGTTTCATATCTGCTCTAAGCTAGAGTCAGGGACACTCCTTTGATGACACGGCGTTTCTGAGGAAATTGGGCTTCTATTTTGGGCTTATATCACGATAATACAGCTCTATACATACTCAAGAAGAGTATTCACAATACATCAGTATCTTCTACGGAGTACGAATTTTAGAAGGGCCCGAACAGACACGAAAGGGCGTTTTGACCAATTGAAATATCAGATTAAGAGTTCATTGCTAGTACAATCTGCCCTCTAGACCTAGTATGCAAGGTAAATCAAGAAAAAATAAAACACGGAAGAACACCTAACCATGGCAGATACCAGATCTACCTCTTCTTGCTGGCCTCATTCTTCGTTCGATCTTGCAAATCCGTAAAGCTCTCCTTGGCGTTAACCTCTCCCCGATCCGCCTTGACCTGTAACATGAATTAGCACTCTTGTCGCCTTACACATATATCCTCGAGCAAGAAGAAAAGAATCAGAAAGAGAGGCGACATACCGAGGCCTCGGAATTGCTAGCAAGATTCTGGTTCCACTTTGCCTTGCCCTCCTTGTGCAGCTTGATTTGCCTCTGTTTCTCTTCTTCGTAGAAGGCTTGTAGCTCATCATCGCGGTCTAACAAGATCTGTCAGCATCGTCTTCCTTTGTCTGTAAGATAGGGGCAGGCAATGCATACTCTGATCTCCCTCCTTCAGACCTGACCGGACAGCAGATGTGTGGAATGGAGAGGTGGCAGCGGGATAGGCCACAGTCTGTCGCAGAGACAGACGGCTTGTTGCGCGGACGGAGGCGAGGAAGGACATTGTCGTGAGTATGCTTGGAGTAATGGTGGTTTAGTCAATTCTGTCATATCTTTGTCAGTCATCATCTCCTCCTCTCTTCTCTATCAATTCGAAAGTATATCTCACCTAATCGCAGGATCTGGTACGTATAAAGTCGAAGTATTCTTTTTTCAACCAAGAGTCAAGTGGCCAAACAGAAAGTATTTAAACCAGCCAGAGCTTCTGCCAGTGCCTGCAAGCAAGCCGATTAACCTGGCGTCATTCCCCAATGTTTTTGGCCAACCACCGCCGCTGCATTTGGCGGGATGGGCTGTGACGTCATAAATACTTAATCGTTCTTGCGAACCACGACAGCTTTGCGTTCCATTTTCACTCCAACTGCTTCCGACGGATGGGCTTGGTAGCCGAGGTAAATGGGTTCCGGGGGAAGGGCTTGGTAGATCTTTTGGTTTTCGTTGTGCTATTCTTAGGGGTTGCTTGCATGTTGATTACTAGAGGGGCTTACATATTATGTTGGTGAGGTCCCTGACTCCCTGCTAGCCAGACTTGGATGGTTGTAAGGTTTAAGTTGCGGGACGCTATAATGTGGGAGTAAGAACGCTTATTTATGCTTTTATATGCTTATTAGGACTTAGAAAAATGCTGGATCAACTGGCTTGTTGTTGTGGTTGGGGGTCTCCATAGTGATACCTCCTGTACACTCAACATCGTATCCACGCAACATATCACCATGTCAACATGCTCATTTAACCCAGGAAAACAAGCGTACGATCATCAATGCTAAGTAAGATTTATTACTCCCAAGTAAGAGGTAAATCGTAAGATTTGGTGTACATGTAACTAGAGGTGATGGTGGAATATATATTTCCGAACAACCACACTTGAACAATGAGGATGCAGTCTGTAGACGGACAAGAGAAGATGTTTTGCAGAGAGATCAAACCATAGCTATGTGACAGCTTTATTTATTAAGCTTAATGGGAAGGAACTGCCATATTCCGGCGTCACCCAGACCTGAAGTCACCAACACACCTAGGGCACTACGAGAGAGGTTGCCAGGAATATCAATTGAGAAGAATAGAAGAACAATTTTTATTCGGGTCACCCGTGGGAGACCAATATTGAACAATGATCCAATCCATGGAGTCACAGCCAGCGGACCTAGAACAATAGGGACTGCTGTCCCCAACCATATACACAGAAGCAAAGACAAAGTAGAGAGGTCAAGACAAGACATATGCAAGATAGAAACGTAGCACAACCTTCCAAAGTTTAACAGAGCCCAACCAATGCAAGACGTATATCGTTTCCGCCTTTCTAGATCCTTAAACGCATGAAAATCCGTTCCCACCCAAAATGTGTAACCTGGCAAACCCCCAAAGAAACATGGCAAAGTCGCTAGAAGCGGATCTGATCTGGCAAAGCCGCCATAGTACTCCCAAGAAAACAACTCCGTGCCCCCAAATGGCAAAATCGCCGCTTTCTATACATCACCGCGGCCTAAAACCCCGCGGCCGATAATAAGGTATTTTGGTTGTCCCTAACCGATAGTGTAGCAAAAACAAGAGAGGTATCGCTGGAGAATGCAAGAGTCGAATCGCAGGCGCCGTCGCTCGCAGGTAGTCGAAAAAGCATCAATCTAGGAAATCGTGATCGGAGGTGTATATACAAACAATGTATCCTTTATGTTTCGCGAGCTCGTGAAATCAGGAAAAGGCGAATTGAGAGTTGATCGTGAGAGAAAAAGAAGGTTTGGTCGTATCGAACGATTAATGAGAAACAAAACAGTGAATATTATGACCCGCGGTTAGGGAGACCGATGATGCAGAAGCTGCGCGATATTGAAAGAAAAAATTGTCGTGGGCGGACAGTGAAGCTCCTTGCCAGCAAGATGACAGCTTGGCAGATAATGGCTTTCACCATCGTCGCTGAGCGTTCTGCATCGAGGCCGGAGAGATGGATGTCGGCGGGCTGGTCATGCTCATCCCAGTGGTGGGGTTGATGATGGGGATGACCTTGCGGGCGCGGACAGCGGAAGGCTGCTGGAAATTCACTTGATTATAATTACCGGAGTGAAGATACGTATTGGACGAAGCGGGAGACAAGGAAATCGACGGCGTAACCTGCTGAACGGGCTGGATCTGATGTTGAACTGGAGAGATGTCGGGCGAGCCGCTAGAGAGAGACGATCGATCTGAGGAAGCGGAGTGAATCGAGTGCAGCTGCATCGCGAACGAAGTCAGTAACGGGTCCCTCGGAAGATAGAATCCCAGTGATAGGGGGCTCCTCGAGTCACAGGGGTTGATCCAAGTAGCGACAACATACATCGTCCTCTGTCAGAAGGCCTGGACAGAACTCCAGGTCGTCGTCCAGGTCAAAAGAGCGCCCAGCTTCAAATCTGGCCCGGAAAGCAGTGACCGAAGGGGCCTCAGCCAACTCCCTCATGCTCTTGACACCCCGGAACTGGCGCTGAGCATTCTGAGCAGCCATCTTGGGACCCCTCCGGGAGCGGCCACCGTGATGGTTATTTGACGTTGTCATGTGAGCGGTGGCGCCGTGGTGAGGGGCTTGCTGATGCTGCTGGTGCTGTCCGTAGTAGAAAGTCGACATATTGGCTTCGGCGTATTATAAAAGTAATAATCGGCGAGATAAGTCGGATGAGGACGGTCAATGTACACGGGATAGTGGATACAAGCAAGGACCAGAGACGAAGGCGGAGGACTTTTGCAAGGAAAAGGGTAAAAGGAAAGATAACAAGGAGGTATCTGGAATGCGAATGGGGCGAAGTATTCTTTTCAAGAAGGATATAACAACGCAGGGGGGGTGAAAGAAGGAAGAATAGTAATACGTTGAGGAGGAGAAGGTAAAGTGAATGCAGGAAGGTTGGGTTGAATTTACGCAGTGTGGGATGGAGAACAAGACTGTAATCGAAGGCGGGACAATGGGCGAAGAAAAGAGGACGAGGAGCGGGAGAAAAGCAGAGCCAGAGAGTTCGATTGGAGGCGAGAGGGGCTGCACGCTCGGTCATTTCAAGTCTGCTTTTCGCTGGGGCTGAGTGGTGGACCCATTCTCAAGGCACTTTGGTGTTGTAAATTACCGTCAGGGCTTGAACCCCCGCTCCTCGATCCCTCCAAGGGCGCTGTGTAACTTTTGCAACGCACTAGTTCCACAAGCTCGGCGCTAACCACCGCCTGAGGTCACGCACCAGCTTCAGGGCAGGCCACAGCCCAACCAGATCCGCAGCGGCGGCAGCTCAGTGGCAACTCCTTGAGGATACTCCAATAATACTTGGACAAAAGTGTGCTGAGTGGGCCTCTTTGCAATTTTTAGTGCAATTTCTCCAATCAGAGCATGTAAATTTGAACTGGGCGGCTACCTTGTGGAGCTAAAATGACGTTCATCACCATGCTAGTCTGATTCAAGTTAGCCCTTCACAACCCTCGTCCAGAGCCGGTGGCTGTTGAAAGCGATCAGAATCGTTCCCGGCTTAGCCGCTTAAGGCTGCCAACTGTCTGCTCATCCTCTCCTGCTTGGGGCCTTGAAGGAATGGCTAATCTCTTCTGGACTGCGCATTCAATGCAGGAGACCATGGCCCAGGAAATTCCGACTGGTACAGCCTCGCCTTGAAAGAGGGGAAGGTGGATCGATCATCAACAGCTGACTGGATGTGATATGTGATAATGCTTGAGACACTCTCACCCAAGCACGGATATACGGATATTAGTTTGGCACGGTTTGCAATCCATATGGGGTCATCCAAGGTCTGCTTCTCGTGGGATTTGAAGCCTGGAGACAGCACTGAAACTCGAATCATACAGTCTTTGTTTCTGAAGACAGGAACGGAGGAGGCATGGCATGCGCTGGCAAATTCCCACTACGACGAGAGTGGGAAATGATTTGCGGCCAAATGATCGGAGCCCCACCCACAACAAACAGACGGTTGCTGGTGATTTGCTCCCAACGTTTTCCCCGTACCTTTCCATGGGACCCGTGCGACTTGGGCGAAGAGATTGATATGCGCCAACTTCCTGAACGGCGATAGCAGCGATACTCCAATGCATTCTCGAAAACAGTGGCGCCAACTGCAACTTCCCAGGAGCACAAAATGCGCAAGTATGGTTACATAAAAGCCAATCTCTCGCGACACATGAATGCTGCTGCAGTTCTTGCTGGGAGTCCCAGGAGGAACGGTACCCCTTGGATCCAACCCCTTGAATTCTCCGGGGTCATCTCTCGTCCTTATTATTACGTAGTATTCTACGATAACGGACGAGAATGGACGAATAATGATCGGGATTTCAATCCTGACGGGGCTTTCATCTGTTCAAGCCACAGATGTTGTGGCTTTGATTTTTGCTCTTTGACCATCTTCAATGTCTGAGCCCTCAGCCACCCAATCCTTCCATTATTGAGTCATCGAGTGGTCACATCTCCCCACCATATGGGGAGACTGCACATTGAAGAGAACGTTGAGGTTGAATTTCATCATCATCATCATCATCATCCAGAGTGTCATTGCTGCTCCCATCATCCCTTGATGGGATACATCGTACTCCGTAACGGAGCATTGCTGTCCGTCAGATATTCGCCACAGCCGGTACCAAAACAATTACATAATCTATATCATCAGTCTGACACTGGGCCGATGGGAGTATTGGTCGATTGTGCCATTGCAAGAGAAGCTTCACCTTCTCCATGGTGGCGAAACCGCAGGAGATCGGCATGGCCTGCTTTACCATTGGTCTTGTTGAGCCAGAGTAGTACCTCACCTTATCGATGATTCCGGCAGCAACCTTGCTATACTACTTGCCCTCGTCTAGGAGTTACTGACCGGAGCATGCACCAGAAGATGATCATTTGTTATTACACAAGCTTACCCCGAAGGAGCTTTTGATGACTTTGGACGCATGTAAGCTTGTGGAGAGCAAGCAATCATCCATATTGATCCTGGTCACTACTCGGGGATTGGCAGGCATGACAGAAGCAAATGTACATTGCCCACAAGGTCCGTAGCATGGTTACTATGAACCAAGCTCAAGAGCAGAAAGATAGCTGCGCTTGAGTGGTGCACTGTAATGCTCAAAACAGAGACATCCTATACGGAGTATATCTTGTTCGTCTCGAATCAAAGAAATCGCTTGGCGCCGTGTCAAGCTCTTAGAGGGAACCCAGGATGTCTGACACTGCTACGTATAGCAGTTTGAGTTACTTGAAACCCTAATTTCGTGAAACTCTTTTCTGACGTGGGGATAGTCTTCGTCAATGTGGCTTTCATGGCATAATCCCTGATATCGCTTTCCATGGGTTGTTGGCGTCCTGACTGCGAGGCGGTTACAGAGTATGATGGATCGGACAAGATGAAAACTAAGTAGAATGTACTGGAAGTGTAACGCGAAATAGTAAGAAAGATGGTGTTGGCTTGCTATAAACATTCTAGCCTTGAACAGAATTTCTGTATAAGGAAATGCGTAGGAACATCCCTGGAATGTGCCTAGAATATATCTAATGCGTGCCTCAGGACATAAGACAAAACAACAATTTGGGCGTCGCTAATCTGAACATATGATGCAGGCTCTAAGCTAAGTATATATATGCAAAAGGGAAAAAGGCCGAATAGCTTTACTTATCCAAGCTTTTGCTTTTCACCATTCGCCCAAGTAGTTCCTTACAGTTCTTTTCACTGTACTGCTCCCAAACCTCATATAATGAAACCAGCTCCTGTGTACATTCGATGACAGCTTTGATGTCGACCTCGCTTTCGGCCAGCCACGCAATGAGCTTTTGAATCCTTTCAGGAGGTCCACTTCCACCTTTATCCCCGAGCGCCGCAAGGATATTCATGCCCCCTTCTCGCATTGCCCCGGCTATTGGTGCCGGGTGGCCATGGTAGGAGGTCTGGCTGCTAGGTTTGAAGACAACGGCAACAATGATTGCCATGACGGCAATGACATGAGGAGGGTACAGTAAAGGCAAGTCGGTGAGGTAGTGATCATTGATCACAGACCATGCAAGAGCAACCTCATCTGAGGTAAGGGTTAACTCAGCTTGCAAATCCGATAGAGTCCGGTAGGGATGGTGCACAATAAGCTGGGAATGCATCTCTGAAATCAAGGAGAACTCGCATTCGCCTATCTTCGACACGTCTGGAGCGATGAATTCTGCCAAGGCGTGAGCAATGACACAGAGGATTTGTGATTGTGTTTCTCCTACCTGGCCAGAGGCCGCGGGCCTCGCCGACAACGAATCTGATATGTTGAGGGCACTCCTCCATTTTACAGGCAAGATAGAATGCAGTCGTAAGGACAAGATAAGGGTTTGTACTCCTTATTTCGTTCTTGGTGTAGTATCTTTTAATATACACCTGGGCAGTGGCCAAAGCTTGTTGTCGAGTCGACATCCTTTTGCCAAGCCTGCCTAGCTCTTTGTAATGTTAGCCCGAAGCTTGTTCAATCAAAAGGTTAACATATCTTACGCTGGCTAAAGTAGATATTGAGCAATCGTTGATCGGGCAAGGGAAACTGGGAGTGCGCGACTTTGTCTTTCTCCTTTAAGCCTTCTCGAATTTCAGCCAGTCGCTCTCTGGTGAACAACCAGTGTCGACGCTGGGTTGATGCCCAGTAATTAGCGGCCATGATGTCTTGATTTGCTCAGGTCAGGTCAAAGTTGTTCTCGTCATGGTATAGTAGAGGGGCCGCCGAGCGATAACACCTGACGAACATGCACTCCGTCTTCGGCTCGGAAAAATAGATGATCAATGCGGTATGTATATAGACATAGTAGTATGTCTTCCCCTCCAAAAGTGAACGGGATAAGGAGAAAAAGAAGATAATGTAGTCATCAGAGAACCTGATGTTCTGCAGTTGGATGGTTGGCACAAGGACCTCCCAGAAAGGGTATAGTGAAGCGAGTCCATGATCCCGTGAGCGGTAAGCCGGAACTTCTTTCTTCCTCGCGCCGTCACCAACAAAGCAAATCATCGCTGGTGGATTTCTCAGAACCACTATCAGGCTTTAAAGGCTAGCCTGCGATATCTGCCATTCATCAGCTATCTTTATAAGAGATCCGCTGCAGATTCGATGCTCACGCTATATCTACGCCTCTCATACCCCTTCAACACCGGGGATATACCGAGCCCGAGATCTTTTGACCCCTCCTTGAAAATAATGACGGAATCCCGATAATAATATTACCTCCAACCAAATATGGCCGGCGGCGAGTCGCAAGATGAACGCGATCAAAGAGTCGCAAGGCTCTGGACACGCCTCGGCGCCAAAGAGCGGGATCACTTGGATTACAATGGGCTCAAGAAGGGTCTGAGGAAAATCGATCATCGTGAGTGACTCTCTGTGACCTCGTCTCGTGTTTCTCGGTGCGCCTGACCGAACTGCGGTACACGATACTAAGATTGCTTTTTTTACCTGTCAGCTCTGAAGAATGCGGATACCATGCTGCGGAAAATCTTCCGGTCGGTCGACACGAATGGAGATGGTTTCATCGAATACTCTGGTAAGATCACACGTCATTTTATCGTGATCAATCCTCGATACTCGGACGGCTGGAGCCGGCTGGTGATTTGACCATCCTAATGGTTACTAGAGTTCCGAGACTTTGTCCACCGCGCCGAGCTTGAGCTCTGGCAGCTCTTCGTGAGTATTGATCACAACCGTAATGGGGAAATCGACAAGACCGAGCTCAAGACTGCCTTTTCCAAGTCTGGCGTCACCGTATCAAACGCCAAGCTCGATGAGTTCTTTGCCGACGTCGATACGAATAATGATGGCGTTATCACGTACCCGGAGTGGAGGTATGTATTGCTCGCGGAGCCGTTCTGCATTCTCTAACAGATCTGGATCATGCAGAGACTTCCTCCTCTTCCTCTCCGGCTATTCGTCCTTTGATCTGCACGCCGTCCTGTCATACTACACGGCCACGGGCAATCTAAACCCGGAAGGAGATGTCCACATCAACGATCTGCAGGGTTTAGGTACAGAGCACTCGTTTCTTAGACGTTATATTTTGGCCATCAGACACGTTTTGTACACTATCCTCCCAGCACCCATCTTGACAGCCTTGATCCCGCCAGCTTATGCCGAGACTCCCGGGCTTGCACTACCCCCGCCTGCGCTTGAGCATGACTCCGACCTGGAATTGGAGTGGCTGCCCATACCCAGGACCGTCGCCATGTGGATGTCCTTTCGATATTATGAACAGAAGTTGACCGAGAATACTCCTCAACTAGGTTATTTCATTGCTGGTGGTATGGCAGGCGCCGTGTCCAGGACAGCCACTGCGCCATTGGATCGTCTCAAAGTGTATCTCATTGCGAAGACCGGATCCGGAGCGGCCGCCGTCCATACAGCCAAAAGTGGAGCGCCAGTCAAAGCCGCTGCAAAAGCCTCGAAAACCCTGGTTGATGCAGTGAAGGAGTTGTGGAGGGCTGGAGGCATTCGGAGTTTGTTCGCGGGTATGTATACTTCAGACGAGGAAGGATCGCGCTGACGACAGTAGGGAATGGGTTGAACGTTGTCAAGGTCATGCCAGAATCAGCCATCAAGTTCGGAGCCTATGAGGTCAGATTACGTTGGCGAATTGTCTTGAAGACAAATTAATACTGACCTACTTTAGTCCGCGAAACGTGCTTTTGCCCGCCTCGAAGGTCACAACGATCCAAAGCGCTTAAAACCGACCTCACAGTTTCTATCAGGAGGATGCGGTGGAATGGTTGCTCAGTGTTTTGTGTATCCTCTTGATACCTTGAAATTGTAAGTGCTCCTCATTCACTAGTTTCCGGCGTATCTCTAACCCGTGTTGCAGTCGGATGCAGTGCGAAGTCGTCGAAGGCGGCCTGAAGGGAAACCAGCTCATCGCTGCTACAGCTCGGAAGGTCTGGAATAAAAATGGCCTGCTCGGATTTTTCCGTGGTTTGCCTTTGGGCCTCATTGGCATGTTCCCGTACGCAGCTATCGACTTGTCAACGTTCGAATACCTGAAGCGTACACTCCTTGCTCGAAAAGCTCGTTTACATGGCTGCCATGAGGACGACGTCCCTCTCTCCAACTTCACTACAGGTGCTATCGGTGCTTTCAGCGGGGGTGTTAGCGCCTCGGTCGTCTACCCCCTGAACGTACTCCGAACCCGAATGCAGGCTCAAGGCACCGTCCTGCATCCTACAACATACGACAGCATCGCCGATGTTGTGCGCAAAACAATCCAGGCTGAAGGCTTCCGCGGACTCTACAAGGGACTTACGCCTAACATGCTCAAGGTCGCCCCGGCGGTATCCATTAGCTACGTTGTCTACGAAAACTCAAAGCGAATGCTTGGGCTGAGGTAGAAGACTCACTCAACCTGCCACCGGCCTCCACAAACCACTCGCTTTCCACCATTCGACCATTTTATTGCTGGGTCTTTCTTTAGATGCGTTTACCAAGATACCCTTAAACCAGTCGCATTGTATACGACACTCACGGTTTCTCTACGGCGGAAATCGACATATCTGCTTCTTCACGTGTTTGCCAACTTGATCGCAAATGCGCCAGCTATTATCTCACCATACCCGTTACCTTCCATGCCTCCCATACCTCCTATCCGAATACACCTGTCACCTCTAGCTAGTCTTTTCTATCCATGTCAGCAGGGGACACTCTATCCCCGAATGACGTTCTGTTTTGGTACGGCTTTTGTTTCTTTTCTCTTCACATTTTGATCTACTCTCGCATGGCAAGGCGTCCTGCGACGAAGCATTCTACGGAGTTTGCTGCTTTTCTTTTTGAAAACTCATATGTACAATTTCCGGGGAGTGTTGGAAGTATGCTGCGGCATTGTTCTTCTCTTTTACCCCTTCCCCTTGTATCTAGGATGACCCGATTGCTACGGTTAGGATAGACTTATATAGTGTATAGAGGAATATGGAACCGGTATTTTGAGCTATCAAAACAGCCATTATTATAAATGACCTTTTTCGTAAACTGTAACAATCTTTCTTTATATACGAGTAGCCAAATATCTTATTTCTTGATGGCCCGAACCTCCTCATCCTTCGGAAGAATATCTGGCAACGGCCCAACAGGCGTGATCGCAAACTGGTTGATCTGCGTATGACTCTTGGTATAATGGAACTTGATATGCTCAAACTGCGTCGTCTCCCGGAACGCCGGGATATCCCAGTAGAGCTTCCTCAACCACGCATGAATAGCCGGGTACCCGGAGCGGATATCGCGAATATTCGTCTTAAAGTGCTGCACATAGACCGGGTCAAATCGGACAATCGTCGTAAAGAGTCTGATATCAGCCTCTGTGATGCGGTCACCGAAGTAGTATGGCGAGTTGGATGAGGCAAGGTGTTCTTCGATCCGGTCGAGGGAGGAGAAGAGCGTTGTGACGGCACGCTCGTAGGCTTCCTGCGTGGTTGCGAAACCGGACTTGTACACGCCGTTGTTGACGTCGTTGTAGATCCATTCATTGCTGGCGTCGATCTCGGATTGGAGGGCTGCGGGGAAGGGGTCGACCTTCTTGTATTCTTCTGAGAGGAGGTCGTCGAACTCGTGGTAGAACATTCGGATGATTTCAGAGCTCTGTGGAGATTGTTAGTCTGGTTTGTGGAATAGTAAGTCTGGGAGTAGTGGAGTGAATATGTACCTCGTTGCTCACGATGCGCTTTGTCTTTGTGTCATAGAGGACAGGGACGGTAAAGCGACCTGAGTAGTCGGGCTCACTCTCGAAATAGATCTCGCGGAGGTGGGTGAAAGATGGGTGCAATGGGTCCGGGGTGGTGTTGTCTCCGGGGATGTTCTCATCAGCGGTTGCGAATCGCCAACCTGAAGAATATATATGATTAGTTTCTCTTGACTCCACCAAATGTAAGTGCATGAGGTACTCACCACCTGATCCAAGGTGCCAGTGCACGGAAGTGTAAGGAATAATCTCCTCGAGACCCTTCAGCTTGCGCGTGATGAGGGTTCGGTGCGCTGTGAGTCACATAAGCCTCTGCCAACTGGAATTGTTTGCATACTTACCCCAAGGACAGGCGTAAGACACATAAAGGTGGTATCGGCCCTTCTCCGGGGGAAACTCAGCTCCAGCCTCCCTGGAGATCCAGTTTCGGAACGAGGAAACTTGACGCTTGAATTCGCCAGACTTGTCGGCTGGGTTCACCCAGTCGGTGATCTTTGCCGAGTTACCAGTCTGCAACAAATAAAGTTAACCCTGGAAAGGAATTGGGCAATCGGAGGGAAGAACTCACGGCCATGGTGCGTGTTGCGGCGAGCGGTGGTGCGGGGGCGAAAAGGTTTTTGGAGATGATGGAGCTGGACAGCTTCGAAAGAACGCTCGATGAAGAGAGATGCTGTGCAAGCTGATAAGCTCTACGCAGGGCAGGAAACATGAAGGGGATTCGAGCAGTGAAGCTGGACGAGAAGCTCAGTTATAAATGCAAGCGCGCAAGACGGTGCGGGGGAGAGCTTAGAGCGGCATGACGTTGATTACGCAGGGGTCACTAAGCTGACTTGGTGATGACAAAGCCATGACTATGCACATCCAGTATGTTCTCAATGATGTGGTATGGTTCAACTAATGTGTAACCTGTATAATCCTAGGACTGATTAGGCTTTTTGACGCGCATATCTAGACTCTTCATCGAACAGCTGTCCCTCTACTTCCTTAGCTTTACCATCACATATGGAATCTCAACATCTTCTTCCGTCTGGTCTTCAGCAGTGACCTCGAAGATAACGTTCTTCTGGTGCTCGGGAATTGGCTTCTTGCTGATGTGTTCTACGAGCTTGCTCATCCTGTTTCAAACAAACGTTAGTAGATGCTTTCTGTGTTCATCAGGATCTCCAGAAACTTACGGCATGGGAAGACGGTCCTTCACTTTAGATGGACCGTAGAAGCTGGCATAAAGAAGGCTGACACCTGAGCTGACCATACTGATCTCCAAGCCCAAGTCCGAGAAGTGCTTGAGGAAGTCTTGCAGGGGAATGTCATCCACCTCGAAGCGGTCCCAAATTTGGTCAATAGCCACTTCACCCTGCTTGCCTTGATACTTGCTCTTGGGGCTCGCAATGGGCTCACTGAAACCGAAGAATGGCAGTGCAAGGTTAATGAATCCATTCTTGTACTGCTCAATATCGTCCTTGCCATCGATGATCTTATATAGCTCCAAGGCGACCAAGCCTGTAACCAGGGCGGTAGTAGTAGCGATAGCAGGAATAATCTTTCCGGCAATAAACTTCGTCTTATGGCGGTCAGCCTGAGGAATGTCGTAATTCTCTGCGCGGAGGTTGCTGGCTGCAGTGATGAAGTCGATGTGGTGGTTGGTATCATCGTCTTTCTCAAATTCGACGGGGTTCAAACGAAACCCTGCAAGAGACTTGGGGGAAGGAAGGCTCTCGACAAGGCGTTTGGTGTCATCATTGTCGTCAAACGAAGAGCCCGAAGCTTGAGCATTTGGATCGGGCTCATTCTCATCCGCCTGAATCTTAACTCCGGATTTGGGCGTGAACTCAGGGATGATCATGTTATCCACAACCTTCCGATAGTAGTCCTTATCGAGGCCGGGGTTCTTGATTCCGTAGTTGAAGCCATGGAGGTTGGCACCCGCAATGATGAACCCGAGATGTGTAGGGTTGGAGCTATCAAACTTCAGTGGCGTAGGAGCACGCTTAGGTCCAGACCAGAAGGGTTGTCCCGTGGACGTTGTCGAGTCTTTGGGGAAATTGTAAAGCAGCTGTTGGATGGCATTATTGTACTGCGCTTCAAACTGGTTCCGGGCCCAGACAATGCAGTCGTCGAAGGTCAACGGTTTATCTGTCACCAAAAAGTCACGCAGATGCTCCAGAGTTTGCTTCTCATTTCCAGCCTGCTTGAGCGTCTGCTCAATATAGTTTGGCTGGGACAGATACATGTTGACGGCCTCTGGCGGCCCAACAAAGTATGTTTGGAAGAGATCTCTGGCCCAAGCAATCGTATGCTCAATACGGTTCGGGAAACTCTTGAGGGTACACATTGGGAATGACTTCTCTGGCGGGTCCTGGGAGCTAGAGTAGGACTCGGTGATGCGAGGAAGGACGACTTGAGTGTTTCCCTTCGTTCCAAGAGTACCACTCTCGAGTAGTGGCTTTCTGAAGAAGACACAACGGCGATCGACATAGGTTCGTGCCTCCACATTGTCAAGCGCGTTTGTGACTCCATCAAGACCCTCCCAAAAGTCTTCGTTGAAGACGTCTTCAGTGTCCGGTCCGACACGGTCCTTGAGGGTCACAATCTTGCCTACCAACTCAGGGTTCATTGCTTGAACTGCAGCGGAAGCGCATTCACTCTTAAGTTTGCCAACATCCTTGCTGCGAAATAGGAACTGTCGGTTCAGGTTGCTCTTCTCAATCTGGTCCATATCAGTAACGTAGATCTTGCCTTTAGGACCAGTGCCGAGACCCATCATCGCCCAGTTCTTGAGTGTCTCGCATCCGATAGCTCCTGCTCCGACCAAAAACTGTGTTAAATTGGCGATCTTGTCTTGGAATTCTTTACCAAAAACAGCGATCTGGCCGTCATAGCGGGTGCCAAGAGGTTTGCAAGCCTCTTCAGACCGGGTGGTTGAAGTCGGTAGGGACTCTAACGAATCGAAGTACAGCCATTGTTGCACGGGACCGAACTTTCCGGATACTGCCTTGAGAACTTCTTGTGCCACGATACCTCCGAAGAAAGCGGCCAGGGGGTTCAAGTCACCTTGGGCTTGGTAGCTCAGCTCCTTGAGAAGCTTCTCGTCGAGCTCAACTTTGTCTTCCTGGCTTGCTGCCAAGTCATTCGCAATCTTGAGCACTTCTTGGGCATCGCTCTCATGGTGCGGACGAGGGAATTGGCCACCGTGAGCCTCCGCAAACTTGTGAAGGGCTTGAACGCCGATGTGGAGTTGCTGAGGCCGGTCAAATTTGGCGAAATCGGATATCAAAAGTTCGGGTTTCTTGATCTGTTCGGAAAGAGGCTGGAAGTCGATGAATTTAGGCATCTTGACCTGGGTAAAGAGACCACCGCCTTGGTAGGAGCCAAGGCCGGACACATCTCCAATGGAGAATGAGTAAGGGCCTTTGACGGTAATCTTTCTCGGAGCAGCGTTGTTAAGAGCGTCCATGCCCTTGATCTCGGTAAAAGTCACGAAGTCGCCGTCTTCTAAGCCGTGGCGGGTCTCATCCAGCGCAGAGACGAGGCCTTCCTCGGAAATGTCTGCCACAATACCATTCACAGGGTCCTCGCCTGTAGAGTCACCGACCGTGAAGTTCTTCCCAAAGTCGTTGAAAAGGTATCCAAACAGACCGAATGTATCCGCGATGGTTAGATAGATACCATTCTTGTGGCAAAAGTCTGCGATTACTAGTTGTTCCTTTAATGGGGTCAAGGTAAGGACGATTGCCTGGTAGCGCTTAAGCTGCTCCAGGTCCTCGGCGATATTGCTACCCTCGTGGATTGTAACTGGGACATAGGAGTTCAGCTCCGCAACTCTGGGAGCTGTCACCTCTGCACGCGGCTTGCCGACGTCTTGTGGCTGGAGGAAGAATTGAGAGGAGAGATCGGCGATCGCGGCGGGGGCGGGATCGTAGAGGGTGAGGGACTTGACACCGGCAAGGGCGATGTTTTTGGCTGTGGCGGTTATTATGTGCACGTCGCAACAGTAAACGAATAAGACCCACCAATTTCGACACCCAGCCCTTTCAGACCAACGACGAGAACATTCGATGAGCCCATCCGTTTCATAGCTTCGTGGCCAAGGACATATCTGGCAGTGAACAACATTAGGGTTGAACTAACAAGAAGGCAGTGAGCTGGCGCAGGTGTACTCACAACTGTCGGCTGTACAGGGACTCGTCGATCTCGCCATGCTTGATAGCTTCGACAGTCTCCTGTGTAGGGGTATCGACCTCCATCTTGGAGTCCTAGACTCGTCAGCAGGCACGGACATAGATAGACTAAGCTACCCGCAATTCACGAAGCGTACGGTCATGGCTTTCTTCTCCGGTCGAGTTTCCGAATCGGCAGACGCTCTTCGCTTGCCCGGCTTCGCAGCGTCACGAACGGGAAGATCGGAGGATGGAATTGTGAAAGAATAGAGATGAAAGCCTTGCTCCAAGCAAGACTTTCTAGCAATATCAACTCTTGTCTGCAGCTCCCAGGGTAGACCCAAGAGGAAGCACAAGCGGTGAGTTCTGACAAACAAGCGGAGCTTCGAAGCTCAAAAGGCGGGGTTAACGAGAGAGGGAAAAGGATAGCACAAAGGATGGGAAAGAGGAGAATGAGATGGACAGGAGATGCGCAGAGAATGTATGATGAGGAAAAGGCTGAAGAGGGTAGTAAAGGCTGATAAATCACTCAAAGAGAAATAATTAGAAGGTGTAGGAGTTGTCTGCGGCGACGTAAGAGGGGAAGATGAACGCCTGGCCTGTTTGCTAAAGCGGCGACTGGTTACCTAAGGTGGATGGCCTGAGGCGAGTAAGCGGGGCTTTCCCAGGGCTTGGCCAATCCTCAGGTGGCTCTCTATTATTAGTGCCTGAGGCAGAAAGCGAGACCATGATGGAAGGCACCGCAACTTCAAGCATACACACCTCGGCCGGTTCGCCGCGCCTGTGAAACTCCCTGGGAGATTCTGTCTCTGCCACTTAAAAGCGCCATGACCTGAAGCTTGCTTTCAATCAGTCGCGTGTCTTCATCCTTGTTTCGAATGAACTACGTTGAACTGCGTTTGCTCCTTATACGTGTCGCGATAGTTTGCCCGGCTTGAATACTTATGACCCCAATCGTGTTCTTCACCATCTTACATGTGTCGCCTCGAGATTCTGGGGAGTGGTCTTTTGTATATGCAACGCCAGAAGTCAACGCAGAGTAAAGACCTGCCATTTCGGTTAGTGTGAGTTGTCTCTGCGGCACCAACTCTTTCGGCTCTCAGAACTAACCCCCGGCCCTAGCGAACTTCAACCAGGATGCTCCACGAGATCCTTCTCTCCCTCTCCGGTCAGCAGTCGTCTCTCTTCAGCTTCCAAACCGAAGAAGATGTCGTCTCTGAAGAATCTTTTCCGCTTCTTTCGCCCCCAGAAAAGGCGCTCCTCTCCCCCCTCGCCCGTCTAAGCCGCCTGCACGCGAAGCTTCGAGCCCATACGGCACAGATCTGTTCCACCCACCCGTCGGTCATATCCCGGGCTGTCTCTACAGCTATTCGCAGTCATCACCTCGGAGCATTCCAGAAGAAGATACTGGAGGTCGAGAAGGCAATCATAGCCGAGGACAGTAGCTATGTTGGCGGGTACGGAATAGTCCCGTTGGCGACGGTTGTTGGGGAATTCTCACCATGGACGCGACGCTTGGAATGGCTTTGGGAACTCGTACGCTTCATACAACCCGCCTCCAAGACGGAAAATTCTCAGAGCTGCTCGGGCGCATCATTGATCGATCACCTTCGCGGGGAATCGCAAACTGGCTATGTGGACATTGAGGAAATGGCACTACTCTTGATTGGTGCGGCAGAGACCGCCTGGATGAGACAGCTCTCAACGTGGTTGCTGTATGGCAACCTTCCCATTCTGGGCAAAGGCGATTTCTTCATTCAAGAAGCTAGTACGTCCGAGCGGGAAGGATCTGGCTCGGTCATGCAGTTTGTTATACATGCCGACCTCCTCCCTCAGTTTGTTTCAACTCATACTGCAGCATCAGTCTTATTCATAGGCAAAACGTTGAACCTTATTCGAGCGAAGCGTGGGCCTTCCAATCGGCGTGCAACTGAGGCACTTTTGACATCGCCAGTGACCCTACATGGCGAACACATTACCCATCTTGCAGAGCTCAAGTCACCTATCTCAGCGTCAAAGTTGTCTACTGCCGTCAATTCAATCCGGCTTTCATTATCACAGAGCACGCTCTCTAAACTACTGCCTCTCCCCAAAATTCTCGAAATACTCTCTGTTTTGCACGACTTCTTGCTCCTACGACGAGGCGAATTTGCTACCGCATTGGTGTCACATGCTCATAGTCGCTTACAAGAACGACAGCGAAGACCAGATGCTACAGTTCTCAGAAACTTTGCACAGAACAACGTCGATAGTCTCGCGATTAAAGAAGGGGACTTGGCGACAGCTTTGACCAATACTTGGGTTGAACTTTATTCTCTCCAAAATGAAGAGGACTCGGCAGATGACGAGCTGGACCTTGCTAGAGAGCTTGTCCGATTATCGATCAAAGCAAAAGAGCGCGACCGAAATCCTAGATTAACGTCTGAAGGAGCTGGAGCTGAGCTTGTGGCGGAAACTTCCAACGTCCCTTTTGACGACCTTCTTTTTCCCACTCCGACGTCCCTTTCAGTGCAAGTACTTCCTCCTCTCGATCTGTTCCTTTCAGCGTCCGACATCTCGATTTACTCGAAGATCCACTCGTATCTGTTGAGCATCAGGCGCGCACAGATCCGGCTAGGTGATATGTGGAAGCACACACCACTACGAAGAAGCTATCCCTCGCCTTGGGGTCCTCCACGGAGTAATAGCCGGTTCGGACAGAGTAGACTCCGAATGGGGAGGGAACGAGAAAATGCCAGACTTGCTCAGATGCGGGCTATTTGGGCAACGAACAGTGCATCTCTCTTTGTGCTTTCTGAGATTGGAACATTCTTTCAAGGGGAAGTTATTAATGAGTCATGGCAGCATTTCCGGGAGTGGATTGAAGCAGGAGTATCTGACACACGCTCCATGCCAGGATCACGGCCAGGCTCTCGACCGGGAACCGCCAGCTCATCAAAGGCAAATAATGATAATCCCGACCAGCCCGTGACTGCTGACGGTGAATCCGAGGTATCCAACTCGGAGCCTGTGACTCCTAGACGGCACGACCCAGAAGCTCTCACGGCTGCTCATCGCCGGTATCTCTACTCCCTCGTGCAGTCTTTATATCTAACTAATACACCATTCACACAAGCTCTGCGGGGGCTGCTCATATGCATTGACCACTTCATCGCTCTCGTCATTCGACTAGAGAGTATACAGCGCAACATGGACCTGGAGACTGACGAAGGTGTGGTTGATGCCCTAGTTGACTATGCGAGCGAGGAGCGCGAGTTATGGGACACTCTTCAAGTAGCTCGAAGAGACGTCGAGCGATCGATCCAAGAGGTCGTGGCGCGGTTGAGGGAGATTGATGATAGCCGGACGGATGAAGGACGAATGATGTTTGAGCTGGCGAGTAACACGCACAAGACCTGGTCGGTAGCTCAAACGAACGATTGCTCGTACGTGCCGCGCAAGGCTGCAGGGGTCGACCGGCTGCTCATGAAGCTGGACTGGGGGACAGCTACGGGTAATTAAGCTGGAGGGTCTATTTCGCCAACCGGAGGAAGGAGTCAGGGATTTCATGAAAACGTATGGCAAACGGTTCTGCATTCCGATGGAGCTTGACTACGACGATATATTATGTCACGAGGGTAGAATAATGATTGACGACCTGAATCAGTTTGAAGATCAACCCCGGCATGTCAGGAACTGCCTAATCCGGTAACCCGAAGGAAGGCCAAGAGTCGAAGCAGGTACTGTGCCCAACTCACTTCCAGCTCCAGCACTTGTTGTGGTTCTCGTATACACCAGTATGCTATGACTACTCTTGAATCAAGATATCAGGGACTGCTTGTAGATATGACCCCTAAGTGATGCAATTACTGCAGCATTGAGTGTCGTTTGCCAAGTTCGGAGGGGTTCAATCACGGTTTAGAAGCCGGGGACGCTAAGGCAGGTTCAGGCTATACCAGCGCCGCGATTGGTCGGATAATGTACCGATAATTTGGAGCTTGGGGGAGGAAACCTGAACTGTGGCGTTTTGGAGCTCCCAGGCAGAACCAAGCCTGACGGAGCATGACAGGTCGCGCTGAATCCGCGGGTGTACTGGCCGAGGACAAAAATATCCTGCCTTCCTGGGACAGATCCCCCTGTAAGGTCAACAGGATAATCATGACACAATCACTCGAAGCCGAGCACCCCATTGGGGGAACGGCAAACCAGCGGAAGCTGAAGCCGACCTCAAAACGATCAGATCTCGTCCTCTGTAGCCGTGGCAGCGGCAGCTCAATACAGTGATGGCTACGAACCACGAGTAACGATGATGTCGTCGTAGAACCCCAATATCAAATTCCCAGCCCTACACCGAGCTTGCCTTGCCCGCGATGACGACGAGATGAGGAAGTACAGAGTGCTTTGTAGCCTCCAGGCTCTTGGCTTTCTCCATACCTTCGAGAAGGACGAACCCATGTATCGGACCCTGCGCCTGCCGTCTTCGGCAGTCTGAAAATCTCACGATGCTCACCTGCCCTTCCTCCCTTCACAGCCCAATCTCACTCACCTCTATTATTGTATCTCTCGAGCAATTGACTCCTTTTCACCATTCGTGGCGAGGCTAGACGGGTTTCACCCTTGTAGCATAGCATCTAGGCATGTCGACCGTGTACCATGGATGCAGGCCTGGATCGTGGTTGAAGTCATCTGAGAGGAAACTTTGTTGACCCTATCACGCGGCCTCAATGATTATCCATTTTTTATTTCTTTTTATTTTGTTCCCTTGATTTTTGCCTTGATTTCACGATCCACCCACGATGGCGAGGGTAGTTTACGTTTGCGGGTGCTCAAGGATATAAAAATTGCCCTTTCAAGGGAGTTTGGAACGCTTCACAGGTCACGACATCTTCTCTTTCGATCTTAATAGCATAATCTGTCCTCTTTGTCTTTGGCAAAATTCTCTCCTCTCCTCTCATCTCTTGGGATTGCTGCTTCTGCCCATCCACACCCATTCTATAGAGCACATAACACACTATACTTACATCCGCCACAATGCGCACTGCGCTCTCTCGCACTCTTCCAACACTCTCGCGGTGCTCGCGACCTTCAGCACGCACTGCATCGGCACAAGCGCCATGGGCTTCGGCTTGCTCCATCATTTCTAGGTCCACCTACGCTACGACGCCCGACTCTTCCAGACCACCTAACCCGCACAAAGATTCGAACCACATTCAAGCTCGCAGGCCCGATATCAGCGAAACCTTTCGACCGCCTCACCGGTTCCGCGAATTCGATCTCAACGGTCGCGTTTATGCAATTACGGGCGGCGGACGTGGCCTCGGCTTAGCTATGGCCGAGGCGCTTCTTGAAGCTGGCGCAAAAGGTACCTTCAATTCACTTTCTCTCCACTACAGACCAAAGACAGCGATAATAATAAGGGGTAGTGCACTGCCTCGACCGCCTCGAGACCCCTCACCCCGACTTTCAAGCGGCCAAGGAACACTCCGAGAACAACTACGGCGGCAGCTTACACTACCACCGAATTGACATTCGTAACGCCCGCGAAGTCAACCAGCTCTTCAACGAAATTGCTGCCCAAGATTCCCGACTAGACGGCCTGATTGCCGCCGCCGGTGTTAACCACTTGGAGTCCGCCCTTGAACACTCCCCCGAGAAACTGCACGAAGTCATGGACATCAATTACAACGGCGTCTTCCACTCGGCTACCGCCGCGGCCCGCCAGATGTTTAACTATCAGCAAAAGGGCTCCATCCTGCTCGTCGCGAGTATGTCTGGCCTCATTGCAAACAAAGGCATGACCTCTCCCGTTTACAACTCCTCCAAGGCCGCCGTCATCCAGCTGGGCAGGAGCCTGGCCATGGAATGGGGCAGGCACGGGATTCGCGTGAACTCGCTGTGCCCCGGACACATTGTGACGCCCATGGTTGAGCAGGTGTTTGCCAAAGAGCCAGCATCGAGAGCCGTTTGGGAAGCAGAGAACATGCTGGGACGGCTGGCGACGCCTGAGGAGTTTCGAGGTGCCGCCCTGTTCGCTCTGAGTGATGCGAGTAGCTTCATGACTGGAAGCACCATGTTAATTGATGGAGGTCATACCGCATGGTAAGCTCATCTACCTTACCTTATCGAGGTAATGGCACTGGAGTACGAAGATATAATCATGAGGGCATACTCATTTGTGTATTATATGGGTTATCTGGCTTGAGCGTACTTCTGAGCGTCTTGATCGTTTTATTGCGTGAGCGCGTTCTGGCCCGAGCACGACACAGGGCTTAAAAGGTTTTTCTCGTTTGGTCTGTTATGTTTTGGTTCTGTCCAGCTTCTGTTTAGCGAGCGGTTTCTTAACAAGATATAATAAGTTTGTTTATGTCATTCTGGTATATCCAGTTTCAACCGTTTATCAACTCGATATATATCCGGTATATGACCAAAAGCAAAAGTAAGAAGAGAGAGCAAGATCAAATCCCACCTCTAGATGATATACGTAAACCCACCACCCTTCCTCTCAACCGCCCCCTCGGACCCCAAAATCAGCACCTCACGCTCCCTCTCACTCCCTTCACCCGCCTGATCCCCCTCCTTCATCAGCCTCGCATTCGCCCTCTGCAACGTAACCCTCAAAACCCACGCCAAAACCGCAACAACACCCATAAACCCTCCGCAAACCCCCATCCCACTCACATACCACGGCCCATCAGCCGCAGGGTACAACCTCGTCCCCAACAACGGCCCACACTGCCCGATAACATTCAGAATCGCGACACTAGCCCCCTTCCCTTCCTTCGCGACGCGATTGTCCATGCTCCACGTGATGATCAGCGTGATTGCCGAGAAGAAGCCCGCTGTCGCGGGGTAGACGCAGAGGTAGCGGAGGGTTGTGGCTATCGAGGGGGATAGGTGGCTGTGGAAGTGGCCGGTTAGGGCGAGGGTTGTGTAGGCGAGGGAGGAGAGGAGGGCGTGTGTTATCAAGTAGGGGCTTCGGGTGCGGGAGCGGTCGGAGAGGTGCGAGGTTAAGAGGACGGTTAGGAAGGCGAGGAGGTAGGGGGGCGCGGAGAGGGCTTGCGAGGTTGTGGGGGTGTAGCCCATGCTATATCGTTCCAGTTAACTGAGGTTCGCATTGTAGTGCTGGAATGGATGGGGCGGGAGAAGACAAACTCTTGGAGAATTGTAGGAAGAAAGACGGGCATGGAGCTGAATGCGACATTGCAGCTAAAGAACATGAACTGGCGCTCTGTTAGTTGAGTTTTGTGTAGATAGAGAAGCCGGATGGACCTACGGCTGTAATGTAAGACTTGGGATCAGCCAGCGTCCTCCCGACCTCACCCCAATTGAACCTCCTGCGGTGGCCCAAGTACTCGGACCGTCCACCATCGCCCATGCGCAACTGCGCTACCATCCGCTGCCGGGGTTCCAAAAACGCTGCTGTGCCCGGCGAGTCGGGGATCACGAACCAAGCAAAAACAGCAACAATGATGCTGGGAAAGCCCTCAATCAGAAACAAGGTGCGCCACGGCGCGATTGGCCCGTCGCTGCTAGACTTGACGATCAACCAGGCCAAGCTGCTGGCGAATGTCGAGGCGAGTGGGGCGGCGGATATGAACAATCCGGTGCGGAAGGCGAGCTCTTCGCGCTTGTAGAACAGAGATAGGTAGAATGGAACGCCGGGGCCAAAGGCCGCTTCAGTGATTCCGAGTACTGCGCGTAAGAACACCATTGTCCCAAAGCTTGTGGATAGGGACTGGAATGAGGCTACAAGGCCCCATCCGCACACGCAAAGCGAGATGTAGACGTGCGCAGGGACGACCTTGTAGAGGAGGGTCATCCACTCGAAGAGGATGTACGTGATGTAGAAGGCTGTTAGAAGCCATTCATACTGGAAGGACGAGAGGTTCAAGTCCTCCATCATGCCGGCAATCTTCGCATTTCCAATATCTAAGACAAAGTCAGCAATCCCATACTAAAAACAACAATGGAGCGCAAGGAGAGATCTCGCTGTAGGCTACACCTAGCAACACACATACTCGAGCGGTCTAAGAAGGATAGAAGATATAGAAGCGCAAGGAATGGAACTAGCCTGCGATCAAGTTTCTTCACGATTTGTTGCTCCTCGGCCTCTGTGTACTTCGGAACCTTGGGTCGATGAAACTTGGGCCGAGCCTCGTCGTTATAGTTGTACTCGGCAGCATCGTCGTCGGAAAACTGATCTTGAACAGTACCGAAATCAGTCTTGACCCTTAATGGACCCGTGTGGTTACGAGATGAGTGTCCGTCATCAAGGGATCGGTCTGAAACTGGGGTATATTGAGCGTTTGTACTGGAGGATCCGCTGCTCTCAACCGAGCCTGGCCCGGGCGGCCGAAAGGAAGCCATCTTAGAAAAGGAGACTATGTGAGTTGGTTATCCATGGCGGAATTGCGTAAGAGAACTAAACGACAGATTGCGATGCTAAATAACAAACGAAAGGAGAAGCCAAACTTGAGCCATAAATTAGGCGAAAGAGAACCTGGATGGCGGCACGTGGGGATGCCCCAGGCGTGACCGTGCCTTGTGATGGTGCCTCGCGCCAACCTTGGGCCAATCAGCAAACACAATATGACTGAATTAGTCATTGGCCATCAACCATATGCAGCGGGGCAACAAACAGCAACAAATTCAACGCATCGAACAAACAAGCTAAAAGTACATGGCTCCAGAACTCCGCCAGATGTGCAATGCTAAAGCAATGTCAAAATCTCCGCAACGACAGGCAATTTGAATGCGTCGCGTCACTTAACACGGCTAGGACGATACGAGTCCACAACGCGACGAGCTCGCTTAGGCTTAGGACCCCGTCTTCTGCTCTTGTAATCCTCACCATGGTTGCGCTTGTGATCATCGTCAAAGTGGCGTTTACGCCCACCCAGAAGCTGCGCCGTCTTATCCCTGGCGATAGCGAAGTTCTCTTCCAGATCCCGAACCCAGGGGTGATCCGACAGCCCATTGGCGTGAAGATACCGGAGGGTGTTCTCGGCTGAGTCCCGAAGGAATTTGACCGCGGGGAGGCTCTCAACACCATCTTTTGCCTTTATTCTGATGTAGTCATCTTTTGCTTGGTGGTAGACTTCAAGGAGTCTCGCCACTCGTACGTCGGGCCTCCCTCGTTTGTCCAGGCCTGTCGCGTCTTTCGAGCCTTCCTTCTCAACACGATGGATCTCAGGGAGGTAGGGTTCGTACTCGTCATTGCTCTTGTAGGGAGGCGTCGCGATCTGGTCGCATTCGTCTTCTTTGGCGGGGCGGGCGACCTCTTTCTTCTCTTGTGTTGCTCGAACTACCGATAAGATGGTGAGCTAGTGTCTGCCACTGATTGGTTTCAGGCGGGCTTACGTCTCTCAAGAACGTTCTGCAGTTCAACGTGGTTTGCAATAGCCTCCTTGCCGTCCGTCTGTGGAGCGATTGGCACCACCCCGAGAAACTCGGTTAAGTAGATTTCAAGCACGCTAGGGTCAGTGACACGATCGCCATGATCTGAAAGAACTAGCAAAGCCTTATCGTAGACGGTGATTTGGCAGTCTTCGAAATCATGCGAGCGGCATTTGATGAGGGAGATCTGGCGACGGAGAGCATTGATGAGGATGCTATAGCTATCGGGGTTGTTGATAAGCTCAAGCATCACAGGACTTGGGCCTTCGGCGCTGCGGTACTTGCGGATGAGCTGATCCACCTTTTTCTGAGAGTTCTCGACTCTAGGGCGACGGGCGAGCGAAGGCGGCATGCCGCTCGACCTGATAGAACCCATTGAGCGGTGATCTGTGCTATCTTATGGGACGAAAGACAAAGGACGCGGGGTGCGGATATGCTCAGATCAAGTGTGGAGTTAAAGTAGACCTGGAGATGCAAAGGAAGAGATTCTGTGGTCTAGGTGATGAGGTTTGTTGTGAAGACATGGCAACACATTCACTGTAAAAGGCGACCAAGTTTATTACTGTTTGGGAAGAAGCTTGGTTACTTGGAGAAATCAATGGCTATGCAAAGAATATGACCTCAGGCATTAATCAAGGCAAACTAATCATGCATATACAAGGCAAACGACATCCAAGTCTTTCCCATGGGCAGGAGGGAAGTTCAAACAGAGGATTGCAGTTTGGCGGAATTATGACAAGGCCATAGATAACCTCAAACTGCGAAGATTATACGGGGGCGCACTGGTTTAATTAATATATGTCATTCATAGTATATTCATAAATCAAAACGCAAGTATATCTAGTCATATATAATAGGATCATTAGTGCATCATAAAGAGAATATCAGTCTAGTTTTAATCGACCGGTACTGTTATATAAGCCAAAGCATTTCGAAAATCTCAATTTCGCTGCTTCCAAAGCTTCTCAATCTGCTCGACAAGTACTGACACCTGGCTGCCTTCGCCACCCTGGGCGCAATCTTTCCAGGCTCCGCCGTCGCGAACACACCAAACAGTATCGTCTACACGAACTGTGCAGCTTGTCTTAACGCCGAGATCGGCACTATGGCGGGCGCTCTTCCGCAAAAGGGCCACGCCGCTCAGTCGATCGTTTTGGTCGCCCTTGTTAGGATTATCATCTTGCTGACTGACGCATTCATTCAAGGCCTCAAAGTCGATACCATATTCCAAAGCACATTGTTCGACCAGTGATCGGTCCGGAATATCTTCGTAGTTGCTGATGAGGCAGTTCGAGAATCCAAGGTATCGGACGGGGGGTGTTTGTAGCGTCGCAACCTGGTCGGCACTGGTCTCTTGAGAAAAAGGAAGGTTCGCAGCGCAGAGCATAAGCATGTCACCAATGCATTCGGTCGGTCCATGCATACACTCGACATCCGAAGACTTGTTGGAGACGCTGATACAGTTGTTAGTTCGACGTTCAGCCGATGTCTAGGGAAGATATGAGCTTACCTTGCGATGAATGAAAGCTCAAAATCGACCTTGTCACCGACTCGCTCCATTGTAGGTACCACAAGCTCCCGTAAGCAATCCCGCGCATCCGGGCATTTGCTCATAATGTGAGCTTCAAATGGTATTCGTTCCGAGTCCGCAAGAACCGGATTTATCCACGATCCTTGGGCGTCATCTAGGGAGGTCACGTCGTGATTCGATTGCGCATGGTGATAACAAGAGGAGAGCTTGAGCTTTGGAAGAATAATAGGAAACCAGTGGAGCGCCAGCCAAAGGCATGAAATGACGCCCAGGAAGCTGACAATCCGGGAGAAGGGTCGGCGGCGCTGGGAACTGCTCTGATTCGTCGCAAGCGGCAGCTCCTCTCGACAATATATATCTTTTGTTTGTTTCTCCATGGTTGATAGAGCGTACTGGATCAGTACCAGCTGGCTGTGGTTGATAAATTAAAGGGATGGATGTGTTGCGATGATCGACGTTGGGAGGAGGAAGCTTTGGATGTGGGGGAGCTCTCCGGGCGGCAGGCTAGCTCGTGATCCACTCGATTAGGGAACCCGCTCGGGCCCCGAACCAAACACCATGAAGAAAAATTTACTTTCCAAGTCAAGAGACACCATCCGAACTATTGCGATCTATGATTTGTCGATGAGATGCTTCCAGCAGCTTAATCCAAACTTGAGTGCGAAATAAGCCAGATGGGTAGACATCAATCTCCCAAAGAGCAAACAGCGTCATCGAAAATCCTGCAACTACCTAGCCTGGGATCCAATTTTTCGCATCTATTCCGTCCTGAATCACTGTTCGCATTTCCTCACTTCCCATCTTGGACGCATACTCCAGGGCACTTCCCCATGGACCTCTTATTGTGGGGTCTGCCCCATGGTCCAGTAGCCACCGAACGCGCTCTACTGCCCCCGCCATGACAGCCTGGACGATGGCATAACCTGGCACCATGTTCCCTGTCTGTGGTCCCTGGAGTCGATTAACGTCCGCTCCTCGCTCGACCAAAAGTGCCATTACTGGGATTCTGCTGATATCAAATTCCTTGCTCGGGGTCACTCGGCCAACATGCGGGTTTGCACCGGAGGGCAACGCTGCAGCCGCTGCATGTAGTGGGAAGCCGTTTTCGATAACAGCACCTGCGTCCAGAACCAGTCGCGCAGCCTCTACATCTCCTTGACGTGCCGCTGCCTCGAGAACACTACATGAATCAGTCCGAGGTCCGCCGTATCGGTACTCTTGCTGCTTGCCAAGATTCGGATTGGCGCCATGCGCGAGAAACCACCGGAGGAGGGCGTGGTTGGTCAGGACCGAAGGCAGTAGGACAGCGCCGTGCTCCGCTGGAGTAATGCGGACCAAATCAGCTGTTGGTCCCCGGTCGGTCGGATGACACCTGACTTACCAGGGCTGTTTGGTGTCCATCCATGCGCGAAGAGCACCTCGAAGAGAGGAATCTGCCGATCTACAGACGCAAGAAGGATATTGTCCGGGGTTCTACGGACAATAGGCGCGCCAGTGGCAAGGAGGTACCGTGCAACCTCCACATTACCAGCTTTCAGGGCAAGGCAGAGACCATGATGAAGGAAAGCAGGGGTGGGCGTAGGAGATTTTGACGAAACGATCCTCTCAACTGTGAGCGGAGTTCCCCAGCGACAACTTGACTCAAATTCGCCGAGACAGGAAGGTACTTCAATAAAGGATGGCGGATCTTGGATAAAACTCAGATCACTGGGGTTTGCGAGAGGAAGGTCCTCATAGCGACCGCCAGCGCCCATCTGGCTTACCAGAGGATCTCTTAGTGGACGTCCAGCCTCTCGTGCACGAGCTTCTTCCAAAGCTCGTTCCTGCCTAGCAACAAGGATCACCTCAAACTGGCGCTGGCGCGATGTCCGTGCGCTCATAAGCATCCGTTCTCGCACCAGCGGATCTAAAGATGGGTGATTGAGGTTCATGGTGGGCTGATCTGGGAGTTGAACTAGGATCGAGGCTGCTCGCGAGTCGCGGCCCTCGCCAACCCCGCCAGAAATAGGACTTGGCTTATGGCTTATTTGTCCTCAAATCAGAACAGCTTCTGAGACCCATACGGGGCACTCCATATACCAACTGACGGTCAGGCTTCAGTCTTTTTGCCCAGTTCGATCGTCAACCATACGATAAAAATAACCTTGCCAGTCAATCAGGATTCATCACTATCGAGTCTCAACGGTTGAGCTGAATTGAGGAGGGCTTCCGTTAATCATCGGCCCTCACTCATATAATTATACTAGCGACAGGCTGGACTGTCATTGTTACCCATCTCTCGTTTACATCTGCTTGGGGCTATCCGGCAACGATGGAACCGTGTTTCCGAAGCCCTGGAGAGAGGAGAAGCTCTGATGACCTCCGTCGTTTCCGCGCTGCCTTTGCACTGCCCAGATTTAGTTCAAAAGCTGATCGTCTTATCATTATTGGCAAGTTCGAACTTCGCAACCTTTGGGCTTTCGGCTCCTCTGACTCAAACGGCCTTTGTGCCATTTTCAGCCTAGAAGAACACACCTTGTGCAAGTTCTCTTTGGTCAGGCACCGCATACGTGGCGTTTAAATTCTCCGGAGCGACTGCTTAACCTCAAAGGCATCTAGTGATTCAGAGAGTTACATTGAAACGGTTTCAATGCTCGGCTCCGACTCCAAGGAATAATGCGATTGATGATTGAACCGGTTGACTGACTCTCTCCTCGCGAGTCCACCCTCATCCTTGGATTCTTCTATGACTGCAAAGAGTGGCGTTAAACAACTCATGGGATGGAGACAATGGAGCATGAGCCCTTCAAGGGTCAAGGGACCGAGGGCTCGGCCTATCGCGGCTGCCCAGAAAGAAAACAACCCCAGCTCCGACTTCGGAGGGCGCATTTGATGACCCAGTTTAGAAGCTCGAGCCGTCTCACCGTGAGGCTTAGAGAGGATGGCTCCAGGAAATATTCCTTATTTTCCCGAGATCTGACAGTTAGCTGCGCGTCTGGTCCGTTACATGATCCACCTTGCAACGATGACCATTCAAGCCATCGCAGTTGGTGGTCGTGACGACCAACAGCTGCCACCTGCAATGTCAGTTGACGGGCAGCAGAGTAGATACGGAGCACTACGAGCCGATGGCAGCTACGTCCTGAGCTCAGTCAGAGGTACTTTGATTCTCCTCGGGTATTATCATCAGCTCGTATTGAGGTGCCAAAGACTCATCTAGCAAGCAGCGAGGATTGTACCAGAGACGCTAGGCGATGATGATGCATCCCACCACCTCGGACAGTAGCGGGCTCGCACCGATCGATCCACACGAACCTTGAACGAATCAGGGCCCTGGGTTTGGTTTCTGAATTAGACGACACTGAAGCCAACGGCAGTGATTAGTAGTATAGCTCTCCGTCACGAGCCCTGTTCGTCGTTGGGCTGTTGGAGGCAGCTGCCCCACCAGCCTAGCTACCACATGGCAAATAAATTAGCCTCTTGGAGTCGTGTTGACCATCCCAATAGTCTGCCAGAAGAAAGAGGCCGAATTTGTAAAGGGATATGCGACAGTTTCCTCCTCTCTCGGTTAGCTCTCATGTGCCTAAGGCAAAAGAAGCCAAGACTGGAGACAACTGTGTAGTACTCCGTAGTAGTGTGGAGTCGCGCAGGCAGTGGACTACGTCTCTACCTTTCGCTCCAGTTGGCGATGACGGAGAGAAATGGGGAAACTCCGGAAGCACGACAAAAATGCAACAGAGCTGCGGCGGCAATCACAGGTGCAGCGCAAATTCTGGTGCATCAAGAGGAGTCATCGAATTATCAGGGCAGGTTCGCCAGTCATGGTTGTGTCCCAAGCATCCAACCGACCGGACAGCGTCACATCGTGTGTCTGATGGTCGCATCCCATCGCATCAAATCATCCTCTTTTCCTTGACTCTCTCTCGTCGTCTGGGTCTCTACGGCCTCGTCCCATTTTCTTGCTTTCTTTTCTTTTGCCTTATCCTTCGTGTTTGCGGTCCGAATGGTGGGGAATGTCGCTGGCTGGCCTGTGGCTTTTTAACCTTTACGTCTCTCTCTTGGGTATTTCTCGCCCTCCCTATATTACTCAATTGCTGCCCTTCTTGATCGCCTCTTCTCCCATCTCACATCCTCTCTCTTGTGTACAACCTACACTTCGACAGTCTCCGTCTTCTGGCTTAGCGTCAGCATACTGTGAGGCCTGTGTATGCTCTCCCCAGCTCCGGTTCAGTTCGCTTTCTGCGCACCCTCTGGCTTCCTGCATGACCATCGTCACCCTATCCCATCCCTCCCTCATTTCCTTGCCGAAGACACGCGTCACTGCATTATTTCTCGTTGCAACGTCGAGGCTGACCATACTCTCCGTGTAGATTCAACGAATCCTTTTGTTTGCTACCCTTGTTCGAATATCTGTCCCCGCGTTCCCGACTCGAATTCCACTTCTTCCCAACACCACCATCACCGCCCGCATATAGACGATCCTTGTATATCCAATCCTATAGATAATCCGCGGCGGAATGCACAGGAATACATAGAAACCCCACGGCCCCTTTCCTACGAAGCGAGCGTACACAAGACCAGACCGCAACCTGGATCTGTGAGTCACACGAAGCACCATCACAATCCACCGAGCTGCATCCGACACACCTCCGCACCCCACATCCTATTCCCTGCTCTCTGAACTTCCCACCGTCAGGATGGCTTCCGTGGATTCATCACACCCAGGGCTACCGACGGTAGACGAGTACGAGCTTATACATGATGATGCGATTGACGAGGACGAGGAGCAGGATGAGGAACTTGCGGAGACGGACCCCTCTGTAAGAGCGTATATGGAACACCAGCGGAAGGTTGACGAGTTCCTATCACCGCTAGCCCTGGATGAAGCTATATTATACAGATTGGCCCGTCGGTTATCGACTGTATACAAGAAGCTGGCTTTGGAATCAGACCAGCAATTCCTTCCGACGCCCGTTTCGAAGCTACCTACCGGCCTTGAGACAGGCCGCTACTTGGCGATTGATGTTGGAGGGACCAACCTGCGAGTTGCGTTTATCGAACTTCTAGGGGACACTGCTGACCCCGATATGGCCCGCACGCGGGCCTCAGAACGGCCACTGCGCAAGGCGCAGACACAGCGCGTGAAGCGGACGCTCGAGAAGGCATGGCCGATTCAAGAGCATTTGAAGATGGATAAGGCGGAAGACCTCTTTGCTTGGATTGGAGACTGTATCGCAGAAGTCGTGGCTGAAAGCCTGAGCTCAGATGCGACTAAGGGAACAGTTCCTGAAGAACTAGACATGGGCATCACCTTTAGTTTTCCGATAATGTAGGCTACCGTCCTCGCGCGATCCGTTCCTGAACTTGGCCTCGCAGCGCAATGGCTCAGCAATCGTGCATGGCTAACGGCTTACAGGCAAGAATCTCTCTCAGAGGCTACGCTCATGCCAATGGGTAAGGGCTTCGCCATTACCTCGGATCTCAATCTCCGGAAGATTCTACTGAGCGGATACGAAAAGCATACAAGGCGTCCCGACGATGAAGATGAGCCGTCGTCGAAACGCCGGAAACTTTTCGCTTTACCAAAACTCAAGATTGCCGCCATCACCAACGATGCAGTTGCCACTCTTGCCTCCCTAGCATATGCTGTCAAGTCCCTGCCAAATAGTAGGGTCGCCATGGGAGTCATTGTTGGCACAGGCTGCAACGCCACAATTCCCATGAAACTCAGCGCGCTGCACGAAGAAAAAGTCAAGCATGTTAGGCGGAGCGACCCAGATACGTCAGAGATTATAGTGAATACTGAGTGGACAATATCGGGTGTGCTACCTCCGCTCAAGGAACTTGACATTATCACGAAATGGGACGACCAGTTAGACGCAGCGAGTGCGCGTCCTGGATTCCAACCTTTCGAATACATGACCGGTGGTAGGTACATCGGTGAATTGATTCGCCTTATTTTCACGGACTATTTAACAACCGTCAGCGGGGTCTCGGCAAGCGTGTTACCTGCCAATCTCACCAAGGAATACGCCTTGACAACATCATATGTATCAGACAAAGTTGCGCGTTCCCGCTCAGATGACGAGCTTGCTGCCGAGTTAGGTCGTTCTCTACCACCATTGAATGATACGTGGCGGTGGGATGCGACCTCTGCAGGCGTCTTCCGGAAAGTGGCTAGAACCGTACAACGACGATCTGCGGGTCTCATAGCCGCGGCCGTTGTCGGCTTATTAGCGTGTGCCGGCGAAATAGAGCTGAAGCTGGACAGCCATGAAGGCTCACCACAAGGGTCCCATGTCCCATCCCCTGGACATGACATCACCGGACTGGATTCGCACCTCAAAGCTACGATATCGAATCCGAACGGATTGAACAGTGTCCGGGGCCCCATAGTTCCGGTTCTTTCACCATCTCCCGTACCGGCAGATTGGCAGTCCGGGCCAGAAGAGCTTGTCGTTGCATATACCGGTGGTATCATCCAACATTATCCCAACTTCAAAGAAACCTGCCAACAATTCATCGACCGACTGATAATGCGCACTGGGCCCCAAAAGAGCGGGAAATCGGTATTTCTTCGAGAGGCTTCAGATGGTGGTGTTATTGGCGCTGGTGTCCTGGCGGGAATGGTTGGAAACCGTTGATGTAACAAAATTCTTGCAATGATCGGGTTTGGCAAGATTGAGGCAAGGCCCTGTGATCAAAAAAATGCTCTTCGAAGAAGCTGATCCTAGTCGATACTGCGGGCGTATGAGCCGACTGTCGCTTTGCCCGCCGCATCATCCATTCCATTGTTTCGTGAATGTGGGTGGTTTCTTTATTCCAGTTCTAAACTATAAAAGTAGCAAGGAACTTCCGCATGCAACCAGTAGTCTAACGAGTGCGATACGATGACCGTGAGTTTGTAGTTTCCAGCCGCCTCTATAATTCAGTCAACAACCGGCAATAAGTGGAGGGTTGATTGCGTTAGATTAGATATAGCGAAACATATTGTTCCTAACACTTCGTTTCATAGCTTGGGGCTTTCCATCCTCATACTCTATCCCGGCGGCGCCACCTTCACCTGACATCTCTTCAAGCCGTCGGCGTAAATCTTCGTCTGCTTGAGCCATGCTTTGCATTCTCTGCGTCCCGTCGGCTGATTGAGAGCGCTTTTCTTGGGGTTTCCCTGAAGACATTTCTTTGGCGTTCTGCTTTGGTTCATCTGCCACCACCCTTAGCTTTCGAAAACAATGTAGTGCTCGCGAACTGTTGCTAGCAGACCTTTGTTGGTGTTGGAATGCCGTGGCGCGGTGGAAAATATAGTTCTGACAGTTGTAAGAACTGATATCGATTGTTTGGAGGGAGCGGCCGCCCTCAGCGCCAAATGTGCCATGATTCGCATGTTTAATGAAGTAAAAGTGAAATATGATGATAATATAAGAAGTGAGTGATTTTCAAACTCGCCTTGCTGCGAGAAAGGTTGCCATTAAGGTCCTCCACGTGACGTAATTCCTATCGCTCTTGGATATCACGTGATGGGGCTCTTGATCTCCACATCTTATCGGAGTCATTAACCATCCCTCTTTCAAGCACCTATTCCGCCTCATCGTCGCTCACGCACACAGTCACGATGAGCGCTCAAGCATACTACGAACTCTACCGCGGGAGCAGGTAAGAGCTCTTCAAAAGCGACGTTTAAACCGAGTTGTACTGACCCACTTCTTTCAACAACAGCATCGGTCTCTCCTTGACGGATACGCTCGATGACCTGATTAACGAAGGGCGGATTGAGCCTCAGCTGGCCATGAAGATTCTCTCTACCTTTGACCGTGTCATCACCGAGGTTCTTGCGGAAAAAGTCCGCACTCGTCTGACTTTCAAGGTATGCTTCCTTCTCCAGCGCTCGGGAGCCTACCCCTCCGTCACTCCGCTGGCGGATTAAGAACAGATGCTAATGTTTTTGCTCCTCACAGGGTCACCTCGATACATACCGGTTCTGCGATGAAGTATGGACTTTCCTAATCAAAGATGTCAACTTCAAACTCGATAACCAGACGACGGTGACTGCGGACAAGGTGAAGATTGTGAGCTGTAACAGCAAGAGGCCCGGCGAGGCATGAACACTTCTCGACCGGAGATATACTACGGGGCGTTATATTTCGTTATTTACTCTTCAGACTGCCACCTGGGATTTCTTTAAGGCAGAGTGGTCATTTTCATCGGCGTTTTGGGACATACTTCGCATGCCATTATTTGTGCTGTACAATAACAGGCCTAGACCTGAAGAGATTGATACCCAAATGAATAACTAAAACCCTACAATCTGTACTTTGACTGGCAAAAGATATTCCAGAAGAGTCGATGCCCATACCCCTCGGTGTCCCTCTGACATGACAAATCCATCGTTGCCTGGGGCATCGCAAATGCGGAGAGTGGGGCAGAATCGCCGCGACGACGCGAACTTAAAAAGGTTCTCGCGTCTAGATTACCCAGCATCGTCATCAACCTCCGACCTCGAATCAAGATCATGAATGCCAGACGTTCTCACCATCCTTCAAAAGAGAAACTCCCACTGTCAACATGCCAAGGACACTCCCTTGGCTTACTGGCGTCGTGAAAGCCGAACGAAAGTCAAATTCACCAACACCAGAGATCAAGCGCACGTCAAGTCCAAGAGGCAAAGATGAAACTCCAAGCAGGAAACAGCCCGCTAAATCAAGGCGCGACTTTTTTAGATCCTGTATGTGTAATAAGATGCTGATGGTAGACCTTTCCACCTCACTGACGGTCTTTAACAGCTCCGAGCCCCCCGTCATCACCTATCCACAGTTGCCCTTCTGAGGAGTAAGTGATCGCATAAGTAATGGATTACCGTTCCCAGCTGTATCTTACTGACGAAGTGACTCTTGCGGAATAGATTCCTCAAAGAAGGCCTCGACAAGGATGACATTTACATAATGGTCGAAGACGAATTCTACGCCGTCGCGCAAACCTTCACCCAACACCTCCACTACGCGGAATACATACGACGCGGGCGAGAAGCGAAGCTTCAGAATGCCGCGAAGATCGAAGACATTGCGAGACCTACGGATGGGGTCACGCCCATGAGCGAGGCGCTGAAGAAGAAATATGCGGCCGAGGATCTGAGAGCTCGGCAGAAGGACGGGGCAGATCGGCTGGACGAAAATGGTACACCTGATGGCGATGAGAAAGATCCGCTGGGAGAGGATATTGAGGAGGAGAATTCGTGGACTGGTACGCATCTGCAGGATCTCATGTTGAGTCCGAGACGAGTACGGTCTTTGGTGGGCCTACAGGGTATTCGATCTTCGACTCGGGCGGCTGCGGGGTTTGCACAGGCGCGTGGTTCTGGTAGGAAAGCGATGAATGGCGGTGGTGGTCAAGTAGAGAAAGTTGAAAAGGAGCCTTCCTTACCGGATGAGACTACTGAGGACGATGATGATGATGACCTAGATGCGATGGTACCTCGACCCGTTCCTGCAGCTTCTCGATGGTCTACGACGGCACCTAAATTGCGCCCAGCAATACCTGCAACTAAACTGCTTGCGGCGAAACCGATCGCTCAACCCGCGTCTAAGGCAATTCGTTCCACTGACGACACCAAGAACAAGTCACATGAGTTAAAGTCTGAGAACAAGATCGCAGCTAATACGCAAGCGAAGAGAAGAACGAAATTTGACGATTTCGACGGATTTACCCCAACACCTACTCCAACAACAGACGTTACACGCGCCGACAATAGCCGTTCAAACACTGCTCAAATTACTCAAACAAAGAGGCGACGGGCATTTGATGACTTCGACGAGCTTCCGGAACTCCGCAAGCCTAGCGAACAACCTCAGAGACGGCAATTTGGTTCTAACAACGCCAAACAGATGAAACCCAAAGATAAAGATACAGGAACGAAGAAATCGAGGCTTAATGAAGTCCCGACTTTTCTAATATGAAGCATTCCCCGTGCGATTATTAACCATATTCATAACTCTGTCCCAAACATTCTTCATCGTTCATTGGCCATCACCCCAGATGATTCCGCCTCACTGAGCGGGCGAGACATCTTAACGCTCAACCTTCGAACCTGGCTCTTGATTTTATCCCGTGTTGAAGGCTCTTGCTCGGTCGTGCTGACGATGGCGTCCTTCTCCAATGCCGTCCCGCTGTGCAGGGTTATTGCGCTGAGTACTCGTTAGAAATGGGGCTTCAAAAAAGTCTTTGAAGGGGTACCAACTCGTCATCAGCAATGAACGTTGGTAGCTCCTCCTTTCGAAAGTTCGTGGGAGGTCCCTAGACTCCTGTTTTAGCGTCTGAACCAAATGACTTGCGATGTCACAGTTACTCACAATCTCCAAGACCCGGTGCTGTGTGCCCTTAAAAGGGCTCCTGATAAGGCGATAAATCTGCCGAAAACAGTCCATGATGCTTAAAGATCGATTGTTCTTCGATATCAATGCGCTTGATTTGACGTGAAATAACGAGGGACGGCGGTTTGTGAGCTGTCGGCCACTATATACAATCGAATCGGTGCGGCTGAAGTGGAAGCGAGAGAACGAAGGTATGCTATGCGAGGGCTGAACTGGTAGGATATCCAACGAGTGACTCGGAAAAACGCCAAAAAAAAATCAAAAGGCAATGCTAAACGAAGGACTAGGCGGTGGACTGGAGGGCAGCGAAGGAAAATTCATCTGAAGCCAAGGGCATCAGGAATTATATACCGGCCGCGAATTTTTTTAACCAGACGTTTTAGGCTCGACGGTATGGGTCCGCCATTCATTCTTCCCGTGCAGCCTATAGGCGGATTGGCAAAATTGTGGTACAGAAACAATCATGGGGGGCATGGCATTCCTTTGACAATCCTTTCTCCTGCCCTAGGAGACAAAGAGCCAACGCCTCGGATCCGAACTTGGCAACCCAAAGGGCCCACGAGACCAGGAATAGGTCGCAGATGCTAATGGAGGGCTGTGAAAGTAAGAATAAAGAGTGAAGGCTTTGGTACCATTGACGCTACGCCAATGAGCGCGAGAATGTTGCACAGGGAGACAACTGTCGCGCAGCCTTTGCTCCAGCAACCTTCCCTTGCATATTATGGCGGTTACCACGCATCGCCATTCGCTGTACCCTCAAGGCACCGTGTGCGAATCTCGCCGGAGAAAGGATGCGCTGGCTGCCTGGCTGCTTGTGCACCCGACCGGCCTCTTCAACGCGCGGCCGTTCTGCGCTCCTTTGTTACCGGAGGGATATTTTGACTCAGCAATGTTCAAGCTGTCAAACGCCGCTCGTGTAAGTCGGCTCGATTTGGACAGATGAACGTAGTTCCTCTGAAACCAACGGCTGGCGGCCTAATGCCTTCTCTGGCGGGGCTAGATAGATCTACCGAGTACCAAAACTGACCGGATCCACCCTGCCCGACGGGTGAGTATACAACATACAATGAAGCAATCCCAGTCATAAACAGGTTCTCTCCTTCATGGCTCTCGTCTTATTCGGTCTCACCTTTGGTGCACACGCTCAACGGTCCGTTTCAGACTTTCAGCCAGCCTTTGGGTATTTTCACCACAGAACGTATGAGTAAGATTATGACAGAACATTCCAACGCTGGCTATTCATTCTTTCCAGCCCGTCAATATCAAATCGGGTGCCAGGTTGATCCTTGATCAGGCGTCGTTCTCAAGAGTGGAATTTCCTCCTGCGATCCTGCCGAAGGGTCGCCCACAGAACCCTCTGCTTTCCCGACGCGTTCGTGCGCCGGCCCACATGTCGTTCTTCGCGCTACTGACATGCCTCGCAATTTGAAGTCGAATTCCTTTAAACTCACTGAACATCGGCTCGTGTTTGTCGTATGTAGTCGATGCTTTTCCCGCCTCAGCGCCCTTACAGTAACCCTCGCGGATGACCGAGTCAGCGTACGCGCTTTCTGGTGTGATCAGGATCGGTGTTCGACGGTAACTTGACGGCGACGGGTGTCGATCCGCACAGATATCGATCGACTGAGACCACCCAGCGAATCGGGAGGCCTATCTGGCGATCCGAAGAGAAAGTCGGTCTTTTGACACCCGTTTAGATCCCTGCTAGCCTGAGCTGTGAGGGAATCAGCGCCTTGGCAGCGCGGGTGGTGAGATGTCCCGCTCCGGCTCACCTTCAAGCCGCGCTTGCCTGCATTTCTTGTGTTCATCGTGTTGACATCCACTCGGTCGGGACCAACCAGCAGACCGAGAGATATTGTTCCCGAAGAAAGGGATGACGGGGAGAGTCTAGGCTGCCAGATTCGGTCGGATTATGCGAATCGATACATTTCATCCCTGGGCAGCCACATGAGCCTCCTCCCTTGGACCCTGGAGACCGCCCGGTCGAGCTTTAAAGCTAGTCCGGTCCAATGATCCACGAGCCGTACCTGGCCAGATCCAAGTCACCGCTCGAGCGTCTACCAACAGAAATAATACAAGAGATTTTTCTACGCTGTCTAGAGGTGAATCTGCCCAGAGCCTCTCTCCATGTTGCCAGGAGTCTCTCCGACCCCGTTATCTATTCATGGCTTATTCGACTTGCATTCAGCGTTGCAAAGGCCGACCCAGAGAGCGATGAGGAGGACCGAGAACCTTTTATTACTCGGCATTTCTTGCCCCCGCACGCGATTGTCGGCTATGTCAAACCTCCTGAAATGGTGGCACTCCGAACACAGATTCTTGGTTGCCGGTGGTGCACATTGCCTGTGATTCGAAGTTGTCAAGTTAAGTTTCTAAGCCACGTATCCCGCCATATACGTCAAGAGATCCAAATTTCCCCAGATGATGGTCATCTGTTCACTTCGTCGACTGTTAAGGGAGCTTTTGAAAACCTGAACCCCTATCGCAGGACCGTCGATGGAAAATGTGAAACCGCCGATTTGACCCTACGGGCCAACAAGCTATTCAAGCCTTTTACCTCCGGCTCCGACTTCACAATTGGAATATGGTTCAATCTAGGCATTGTCGCCATCGATACAGCGCAGGATGTTGAGTTCCTAGGGAATAAGTACTTTGAGCTTCCTTATTGCCGCGAGACCGTGCTACCTCGCAAGTTGCTTGGTCCGCCGTGGACCGAGGACAAGTTCGAATTCCTTGAACTGCTTTCAACGAAGGCGATCTGTGATAAAGATAAAGAGTATTATCGTGCAACGAGAACCATTCAGCGGGTCATTCGTGACCGTGACTTCCCCACCTTCTTACGGTTGCTGAGCTTTTACATCCTAATCGAGGGGAATAAAAGTCCGGTCCCATTTCCAACTCGGAATTCTGTGTTCAAGACCGCATTGAGGTTTGCGGAGGCCTATGATGATCCTTTCGTACGCGTTCTGGTCGAGGATCGGTGGGATCATATTGATCCCGAAGATTTCCGTCTTAAGGAGCAGCTGCTCTGCGCAGTGAGCGCCGACTATCCCCCTTTTTGATACGACAACCCGAACAAGGGAGAGGCCACCGTTACCCTTTGCTCCCAGACAACTTACCCTCCTTGAGACTGGTCTGGGTCACTTTGCAGCCAATCTAACATGGCCACACGCCACGATTTGACTACCGAGACCGCTTCGTGCAAGGTGTGTTACTAAATAGTCATACCTTAAACGCTTACTCGACGACTCTAAATGGGGCACCCACTCTGTGTCCGTAATATCAACGCCTCGGCTTGTTACGACACTCAGTAGGCGGGCACGTAGATGTACTACTGCTGGGTCTTCTCGGTCACCACAATGTATGTTCATACACATACAACTGACTCTGTTGTCCGCCAATCCATATATAGCTACAAGAAAAGGCACATATTTCTAACTCGATATCTTATCCTTTGTAGCATGAGTGGCTTGAGGGCAGAGATCTGAATAGACTCTGTGGGCGGTGAAGGGCCGAGACCATCTCCGCATAATTTCCTGCCGCAGCTCCAAGCTCTTCCACCTGTCAATCAACTCTTTGAAATTCACATCTACGGGTTCCAATGCCGCCTCAACCATAAAAGCACATCAACCTCGAGAAATAAGCTCAATGGCCCACTCAAAACGCAACACCTCCCTCCCCCACTTCACCGCCTACGAGCGCGGCCTCCTTCGCACAGCCTGGGGCACGCAGCGCGGCGTAATCGGCCGCGACTCCTTCCTCCCCTTTGGCTCCTGCAGACTATGCCTACACCCGGCCCGCTCGCCAACCGTCGCCTGCGCGGAAAACGGCGACCTGCTCTGCCGCGAGTGCGCGATCAACGACCTCCTCGCGCAGCGCCAGGAGATCAAGCGATTGGAGAAGGAGAGGGATAATGCGAGGAAGAGGATTGCCGAGGAGGAGGAACGGAGTGTGGAGGAGAGGAGGGAGCGAGATATTAGGGAGTTCGAGCTTGTGAGCATGGGCCTTGAGGCAGCGGTTGGTAGCTCCGGGGACGGGAAGAGGAAGCGCGGAAGGGACGAGGAGGAGGCGCTGGCGAGGTTTAAGAGGAGGGAGGTTGATGTTGGTGGTGGGGTTGTGAAGAAGGCCGGGGAGTTGGGAGAGGGGGAGATGAGGGATTATGTGAGGAGGGAGCAGGAGAGATTGAGGGAGGAGGTGAAGAGGGAGAAGGTTTGTTTCCACATTTCGGATTATTTTGGGGTATGATTGGGCTAATGGGTGGGTGTTGGCAGTCGGCATCGAATAAATCGGCTCTTCCGTCGTTCTGGGTACCTTCGTTGACACCGGGAACCGATCCAAACGAGATCGCGGCCAACAAGGTTGTGAAGCTTAACCCTGTTTGTCCGGGGTCTACAGAGGGGAGCCAGCATAGCTATTCGCTCAAATCGCTGGTCGAAGTTCATTTCACCGAGGAGGCGGGCGCTGATGGGTCCAGGGTGCGGGTGTGTCCGAGCTGTAAAAAGACGTTGACGAATACGGCCAAGGTGATGCGTATGTATAATTCTCCCTTGGACTGATGTTCAATTCCTAACATTCACAGTTACAAAACCTTGCGGCCATGTCATTTGCAAGCCCTGCGTGGATAAGTTTATGAGACCGCATGATGCGCCAGATCCCCATGCGACGAAGGAAGAGCAGGAGAGGACGGCAGAGCTTCATGGCCGAATTCTATGCTATGTATGCGAAACAGATCTTACATCGCGCGACTCAAAGAGCGAGGATAAAGACGCCGCAGGTGAAAAGAAGAAGAAGAAAAAGAAGGACAAGGAAGGGATCCAACCTGGATTGGTGGAGATATCCTCCGAGGGAACAGGGTTCGCAGGCCGTGGAGGAAATATCGCGACGAAGGCGGGCGTCGCGTTCCAATGCTGAGCTGGACTCTGCGTTGGAAATGATCAAATATCGGCCTTGTATCAACGAATAATCTAGATCGTGTATAGATCAGCTTAACCGCCGTTATCGGCCGGATGCGCAATCAGACGCGGGAAGTATACTCGAGGTCGATAACGTCAACCTCACCAAAACTGGTCCCCGTCATTGCAACCCGTCGTTTTGACTTTGAAAAGAGCATGACAACATCTGTCAGTTATCTTCACAATTTGTGGCGAATCAATTCGCTTTCCAGACGACTTCAACGTGGGTTGGAGATGGCGTGGAGAAGGGTCGGGCTCCCAATCGGGAATGGATGGGATGATACGCAATCGCAGAGCATCTTGGCGCAATTCTGAACCACATTCTCGGTCGACAGAGGGGTATAGAGGGGTGCACATAAATACTGCTTTGAAACCCCGCAGCGAATACAATTCCATCAATTGACATTGTCAACGATCAATATCCACCGACACCACTACCTGAAGACACTTCGCCCAGTGCAGAGTATACCCCAAAGGTTAATGTACCCATCCAATGATTTGAATACATAATGGATCGATCAGGGCTGATCATGATGGTCTCCCCTAGCACTCGCCATGCGCTCCCTTGAATGGCTCTCAGCCGCCGCTTTGCTGCCTCTGGTAGCCGCGGACTGGCAATTCAAGTCGCGGACCGACCTGGCCCCGCCTAGACTTAACATCACCATCCCCGCTGCTGAAGACGTCGAGAAGGGATACCTCTTTGTCGCTCCATTCGCTGGCTTCCCAGACACCGCGGGAGAACAGCACGGTCCCCGTCAGGCTGCTCCGTACATCTTCCGCGATGACGGAGAGCTGGTCTGGTCCGGGTACGGCTACTACTCCATCTGGGCTACCAACTTCCAGAAGGCTCGCTGGAAGGGCAAGGATGTCCTCTTTTGCTTCGAGGGTGACCATAACCCTGGTTATGGTCATGGTCACGGGCACACGACTATCCTTGACCAGCACTATGAGACTATCCGTGAGCTTCGTGCTGGCAATCACAAGCTGACTGATAAGCACGAGTTTCATGTCATCAATGAGGAGACGGCTTTGATCCAGATCTACCAGCCCACTCCTATGGATCTTACTCCGTGGGGAGCTAGTCCTGAGCAGCAGTGGATTGTTGATGCTATCATTCAAGGTGTGTAGTTGTTCATAAATTGTCGATATTATAGCTAACGTATGACAGAGCTTGACATTGAGACTGGAGAGCTTCTGTTTGAGTGGTCCAGCCTGGAACATGTTCTCCCCGATGGTGAGGAATCAATCCAAGAACATTGTGGGTCATATACTAATTCAAACAGAGGCCATCCTCCCCATCAACCCCGGCCAAGCCGGCTCCGGCTACAACTCCTCTGACGCCTGGGACTACTTCCACATCAACTCTGTTGATAAGGATTCTGATGGTAACTACCTCATCTCCGCTCGCGACGCCTGCTCCGTGCACAAGATCAACGGCGCAACCGGCGAGATCATCTGGCGCCTCGGCGGGACAAAGTCCGACTTTGAGCTCGGCGACAACGTCAAGTTCTGCTTCCAGCATCACGCCCGTTTCGTCTCCAAGGAGGGTAGCAAGGAGATCATCTCGCTGTACGATAACTCCGCGCATGGAACTGAAGACGGCCGGGGACATGAAGTCCACACGCACCCGTTCTCCCAAGGTAAGATTATCGAGGTCGACACGGCTACCTGGAAGGCGACCATCGTTCAGGCGTTCCAGCCTCCTGATGGCCTTCTGTCCAAGTCCCAGGGAAGCACGCAGCTTCTTCCTAACGGAAACGTCATTGTCAACTGGGGCTCCGAGGGTGCGCTGACCGAATTCCGTGCCGACGGGACCCCCATCTTCCACACCTACATGGACTCGGGATACCTGGGCCTGGGCGTCGAGAACTACCGCGGCTTCCGGTACAACTGGACCGGTCTCCCGAACGAAACCCCCGCCATCGTTTCCCTCGAGAACGACGAGGGCACAACCGTCTACGTCTCCTGGAACGGCGATACCGAGACGAAGCTGTGGCGCTTCTACAGCGTTGCGGACGAGTACGGCTCGCGCGAGTTCCTTGGCGAAGTTGAACGTACTGGTTTTGAGACCTCGCTCCCTCTCAAGGGTCGTCGTGTCGGTGCCGTTGCGGCCGAAGCGGTCGGTGCCAATGGTCGTGTCCTGACCTCGACTGCTGCTGTTAAGACCAAGGCCGAGGTGCTTCCTCCGAGGGGTTCTTTCTCTGGGTCCTCAATCAATGCTCCTACGTACACTCTGTATGATGAGAATGGTGAGGAGGTTCGGCTTGTTGAGCAGAAGGGTGCGCAGAAGAGTAACTGGGAGGATTACATGATCCTGAAGGTGAACCGTTTCGACTTGAAATGAGCGACTGCGACACGGTCGTTAGTCCATAACCGTACCTGCTAGTGCCTGTCGTTGGCTTGCCTCATGCCATCTGGATGATGTTTGAAGATTTTTGAAATGAGAAGACTTGAACTTGAGTAGCATATTGACGCGTCAACCTAACTTGAATGGTGAGATAATTTCTCTCAGACAACTTGGCCTCAGTGCACTTCCTCGGTCCTACTACTTTCCAGACCCCAAAGGGCCGTGCCGTTTCTGTCCCTAGCCCTGACGATCAAACTGGATCGACGTCCCCCACAAGCAATCACAGACCCCTTCGCCACCAACGCAACCATATGAAACAGGAATCAAGCATAGCGCTGACGCCAAGCACCCGGGTACCATCCCATCCGTACCCATCTAGGCACATTGTACATCGTCCATTGGAACCTCATACCTCCCAAACCCTCTCAAACCCCACAATTTCGCAAACAACCGGCACCTCTCCATCTGCAACATCCCCCTCCTTGAACCAGTAAACCTGCTTTACTCCCAGCGCCGCCGTACACGCCACGAAACCTCCCACCTGCACCTCCCCTGCCCCTTGTCCCTGTCCCCGACTCTGCACCTCGACCTTCACATCCCTCAGCATCAACCCCCCATCCTGCCCAAACCCAAACCCCTTCGTATACTCGCCCCCCTTCTCATTCCCCAGGACAACTTGCTTGTACGTACTACTCAGCCCGTCCTCGTCGGAGAGGTATAGCGGCGCCTCGGAGCTCGCGCCGATGACGTTGGATGTGTCGAGGGTTATGGAGCCGTCGCCTTCGTAGAGGGCGAGGGGTTGTGCGAGGGAGGAGTTTGTTAGCAGCACGTAGTTTGTGCGGCCGTTGTAGGTGATTGAGGAACTGAGGTAGAGGTTTGTTGTTGAGCGGAGATAGTAGCGGTATGGTTGGGGGGTTGGTGTGGTCGTTTGTGTTAATGTTGGAGATGGGGAGCGTGGATAAGTGTGGACGGGTTGGGTGAGGTAGAGGAGAGTGAATGCAACGAGAGATGGGAAGAACATGGTGATTGTTCTTGTAAGAAACAATTCGTAGGAGGTCGAAGCTAGAATGAGGAAAAAGGTAGCGAGCGGGCGACCATCCATGGATTTATATACCCCCAGAAACCGGACGGAACCATCCCATCATCACCTGCCATCGCCATTAAAGTTTCAGCGAAAAGATCCCGAAGCAGGAACCAGGATAATCCTCACCATCATGTTTCAGATCAAGCTTTCATCTACGCCCGTCGACGAATCTTGTTTTGGTATGAGCGCGGGCCATGTTGGGGCGATAAAAACCCGAGTCCCGTGTGAGAGGCAATGTAGCCGTCGATCTGTGACCCTGCCTGGCCCTAGCAAGGTAGGTATTTAGTTAATGAGGTCGGTGAATTACATGCAGCTGGGAACTGGAAGGCTGCGCATGTGCAATGGCAGGGATTATATAGATGCTCTTTTAAAAGAGTCTTTTACTGCTCGGGTCGGAAGTAGTGCGGCTGGGAGGGTATGTTTGCCTGCCAATGCCTGTAGAGTACTTCGATGGTGAAGTCTGAGCACCATGGAAAATAACCCTAACCTCGGAGTCTTTGGTTCAGTGCAATCATGTTGATAAACCTTCATTTTGTAAGATACTTCGCAACTTCCAGTTTATTTCAGACCTCGGGCGGCTAGATCGCTGCGGGAATTAGTATTCCAGCCCGGGGATGTTGTGGAAGTATGTGGAAAGCTCATGATGCGATCACTTGAGTCCCTCCTCGCCGGCCAGGTAGCCAATCACCCAGCGAGGTCGCCTCCGGAAGTCCCTTCTGCTTGACGCCGCCTGCTGGTCTACGAGTATGCCTTTGGCTACCGAACCATCCACATTGAAGCAGGGTATGACGCCTATTTACTGTATCCGCAAGTGCCCAGGCCGCTCGGACACCGCGATCGAAGAGATCTGGGCGGTAGACAAACCGGCTGCAGCCCGAGGCGACGCTCATTTTCTCCCAAGAACAAACCTGGCGCCCCACAATTCAACTGCCATTGGAGAGGTTGGAAGAGCGCAACATCCGTATATTACTTCCAGTACATGCAGCATACCGACAACACTCCGCAAATCGATTTCTTTGGCGGCTGGTTCTCGGAAGGACGATCAGGAGAGGAGGTTGAATATGAGTATTATGCAGGCGAACCACGTGGTATACAACGAGGCCGGGGACCGGAGGGAATTTGCCGTGGCGTTGGAGCAGAAGCTGTCGCGCAAGTGGGATGGAGAAGTTGACGGATGCGGGAGCTGGAGGGCTTGTATCAGGAGAGCGTGGCGAGGATCAGGAATGATTTGCGTGCGAGCATCTTGACCATTGTCTCATGTGGATGATTGAGCAACCAATCAAAAGTGAGGTACCTGATGGCCCTTTAAAGCTGATGTAGGATCTCCGTGAGGCTCGTGGCTTCTAAATATGCTATAGAATCACCCTCAAGAAATCAAAGCCTCAGGGTCATAGGACTTGGCGGATGTTCTCATGCATTTCATGCACCAAAAGAGTTTGGGTATCATTGGAGTAGCAAGGATTAGAAATTGTAAGAGTCTTAAAGAGAAGTTGATCAGGTATAATATCACTAAGGTAGATATCAAATTAGGACAAAACTAATCCTTGCTTCGCAAGATATCTAGGACCTTCAGGGGACCTAAGTAACTAGCTATTAAAAGGATAATGTTAAGTTAAGGCCTCTTAATCTCCTTAGTTAACCTCTTAGCTCACCCCTCAGCCAACCTCCTTAGGTTATATGAGCGGATTAGCTAAGTTAACTAAGTTAATTAGTTAACCCCTAGCTATTAGCCCTTCCTAATAAGCCTAATTACTTAGGTACCTTATGTACCTAAACTATTCTAACTAGGGGCCTGACCCTTTAGGTATCTAGGCTGCTCTAACCATAACATGGCACCCCTATCCCTAAGGAATCATCCTAATCTAGAAATAGAATATTATAATTATAAATAGTTATAGAACTATAAATAGAACCTTAAAGGGTTCTTTTATAACTAATTTTAGGCTTATAAGTCTTTAAAGACTTCTATTATAGCTTTAGAGGGGAAATAAAGGAGGGGAGTAACTATTTATTATATATAACTATAGCCTTCTAGTGTAATTAAGTATATTTAGCCTTAAAACCTTTTACTTAATAGTAAGGTAAATAAAGAAGGTAATATAATAATAATATTCTATAGATTTTTCTTCTACTCTCCTCTTTCTCTTTATCTTATCTTCTATAATTTATTTACCTTCCCTTATCTTAATATCTTCCCTCTCTTAACTTATCTTTATTATTTCTAAGATAGTTTATATTTACCCTATTCTTACTACTCTAATAATACCTAAACTCTTTTAGTACATAAAATATATAAGAATATCTACTAAGTCCTATAACCCTAAGGCTAAACCCTTTAAACTATTTAAGATCTCCTATATTCTTAATAATACTAAGTCTATACTCTATTACTAATATTCCTATTAGAACGTGAGTTATTTAATAGTAGGTTCTTTATAATATAGGTAGGCTTTTACTAACATTCCCTAAAGGCTATAATAGAGATGCTTAGTAATATAGTTAATCTCTCTTATTATATTAAATAGTACAAGGGATTCTTTAATCCTAATAATAGTATAAATAGTTAAAATTAGGCTCCCAAGCTATTCCTAGCCTTTTTAGAGGTGATTCTTGATCTGGTCAGTGCGTTTGATAACGTGGAGACCCAACATCGAAAGGAATTTGGCTTGACGTGTCATGGTCAGAGCGGCCTAGATGCCTGAAGGGTCAGGCCCCCAGTCGGAACGGTTCAGGTACATGAGGTGCCTGAGTGATCAGGCTCATTGGGAAGGGCCGACAGCCAGGGGTTGACTAATCAACTTAGTTAACTTAGCTGATCCGCTCACACAACCTAAGGAGGTTGGCTGAGGGGTGAGCTAAGAGGTTAACTAAGGAGATTAAGAGACCTTAACTTAATATTATCCTTTTAATAGCTAGTTACTTAGGTCCCCTAAAGGTCCTAGATATCT